GGTCCCAGGCCAGGTTTCTTGGTCTGATCCCAGGTCAGATCTCCTGGTCTGCTCCCAGGCCAGGTCTCCTGGTCTGGTCCCAGGCCAGGTCTCCTGGTCTGGTACCAGGCCGGATTTCCTGATTTGGTTCCAGGCCAGGTCTCCTGGTGTGGCCCCAGGCCAGATCTCCCGGTGTGGTCCCAGGCCAGATCTTCCGGTGTGGTCCCAGGCCTGATCTCTTGGTCTGGTCCCAGGTCAGATTTGGTCTGGTCCCAGGCCAGGTCTCCTGGTATGTTCCCAGGCCAGGTCTCCTGGTCTGGTCCCAGGCCAGATCTCCTGGTTGATGGCATGTACAACGTTGTGACTCTAACGCAATGTTATTGCTGTAACGCAGCGTTACGTTACTAGTACATCCTCAGTACCATTGTTATCTTACCACCATCCTCAGCACTGTTATTTTCCCAACCATCCTCAGTACCATTAATATCTTCTCAACCATCCTCAGTACCCAATTGTTATCTTACCAACCATCCTCAGTACCAGTGTTATCTTACCAACCATCCTCAGTACCAGTGTTATCTTACCAACCATCCTCAGTACCAGTGTTATCTTACCAACCATCCTCAGTACCAGTGTTATCTTACCAACCATCTTCAGTACCAGTGTTATCTTACCAACCATCCTCAGTACCAGTGTTATCTTACCAACCATCCTCAGTACCAGTGTTATCTTACCAACCATCCTCAGTACCAGTGTTATCTTACCAACCATCCTCAGTACCAGTGTTATCTTACCATCCTCAGTACCAGTGTTATCTTACCAACCATCCTCAGTACCAGTGTTATCTTACCAACCATCCTCAGTACCAGTGTTATCTTACCAACCATCCTCAGTACCAGTGTTATCTTACCAACCATCCTCAGTACCAGTGTTATCTTACCAACCATCCTCAGTACCAGTGTTATCTTACCAACCATCCTCAGTACCAGTGTTATCTTACCAACCATCCTCAGTACCAGTGTTATCTTACCAACCATCCTCAGTACCAGTGTTATCTTACCAACCATCCTCAGTACCAGTGTTATCTTACCAACCATCCTCAGTACCAGTGTTATCTTACCAACCATCCTCAGTACCAGTGTTATCTTACCAACCATCCTCAGTACCATTGTTATCTTACCAACCATCCTCAGTACCATTGTTATCTTACCAACCATCCTCAGTACCATTGTTATCTTACCAACCATCCTCAGTACCATTGTTATCTTACCAACCATCCTCAGTACCATTGTTATCTTACCAACCATCCTCAGTACCATTGTTATCTTACCAACCAACCTCAGTACCATTATCTTACCAACCATCCTCAGTACCATTGTTATCTTACCAACCATCCTCAGTACCATTGTTATCTTACCAACCATCCTCAGTACCATTGTTATCTTACCAACCATCCTCAGTACCATTGTTATCTTACCAACCATCCTCAGTACCATTGTTATCTTCCCAACCATTCTCAGTACCATTGTTATCTTACCAAACACCCTCAATACCATTGTTATCTTCCCAACCATCCTCAGTACCATTGTTATCTTCCCATCCATCCTCAGCACCATTATCTTCCCAACCATCCTCAGTACCATTATCTTCCCAACCATCCTCAGCACCATTATCTTGCCAACCATCCTCAGTACCATTGTTATCTTACCAAACACCCTCAGCACCAACAAAGACACTGACCTCTGGGAATGTCAACATAGCAGCACCTCAACTTGAGTGTTGGAAGGAATTTGTGCTTGCAGGGGTATGGAGGTGTCCTGGAACTTGGGGGTTGGGAAGGAGGGGAGGGGGAGGGAAGAAGTGATGTCAGGAGCGTGGAGAGAAAAGGAAGAGGGATAAAGGAAAAGGTTGTTGAGAAAAGTGGGAGAAGAAGGAAGGGGTAAGGAGCACAAACAGGGAAACAGCGCATGGAACTGTAAACGAGGAGGCACGGAGGATTGTGGGGTGAAGAAAGGAAGAGGATAGCGAGGGGAGACTGAGGGTGAGGGAAGACGGCGGGTGAGGGGACACATTTGGACTCGTGCCAAGGTGTTGAACATACAGCTTGTACTCCGTACCCTTAGCCGCCTGCAGCCTGCTCTAGGCGTCTTCATAGTACCTGGTGAATGATAGTAACATTCAACTTTCAGCATATGATTGCGTAATTTTCGTAAACATGAAGTATCATGGGAGATAGAGGTAGATCTTGCTTCATCGAATGACTTCTCTCCCTCCGTCCCTTTCCCCACGCTCCATGATATCACGCTTTTATATATCTTCTTACGAGAGGTTTCTGAAGCATCTTTACATCAGAGGTATGTCGCACCTACAGCTCATGTTAGAGACGCGTGCAACACCTTTATTAAGACACGTTTTGCCCAGCAGGGACTTTATCAATCTAATGCAATCTGTACTAGACTGATAAAACCGTCTTCCCTCAAATAGGTAAAACTTCCCTCCAAGATGCGATTATTGGCAGCCTTTCGTTCATTCAGTGAGCTTTTTCTAGTCACTAAAGTTTGGGTATTTTATACCATTTCTCTTTTTCACACTGGATATATTGACCAATATATGGAATGAGCTGGAGTATCGATTATTATGTGTCATGAACCACATAATTGAAGCTGCAAAGACTAGACATCCATGAAGCTGTATTAAACACGATTAGTTCAACAAGAAAACGGAATTTTCATGTTATTGTAAAATATGAAATTGGACACTGATACAGCATTAAGCTTAGACGAGAAGAGGAAGAATTAAATCCTAGTAAACTAGGCTTAAGCAGAGACAAAACTGGATGCGACACTAGGAACGTATTTCTGGATGGATGCGGCACTACGAACGTATTTGTAGGAGTAGATGAACACTTAGACGATTGATAAAATATCTGAAATAGTTTACCTGGAGAGAGTTCCGGGGGGTCAACGCCCCCGCGGCCCGGTCTGTGACTAGTGAAAATGATTTGGAATGTCTAAGAGACTGGAACAGCAATAAGGTCTGAAACAGAAATGCAACTTTCTGCAATAATTAATCAGTAGAAGATCTTGAATAGAAAGAGTTGAGTATCTGAAACAGGATAGAGACACGGAAATATGGAATAAGGGAATTATGTGCAAAAGGTGATTCTTCTTAGAGAAAGAAAGAAAACTGAGGTAAAAGTAGTCCGAGAAAACATAGTGGTGCTGGAATACCAGAGAGGAAACATTTGAAGATGAAAGATGGTGAATTGCATAAGAGAAGAAGCCTTGGGGAGCGCCCGGTTAGTATCAATAAAGACAACTGCACCATAGTGTGTCTGCTGGAAATATTACACTGCTAGTATCAGTAAAGACAACTGCACCATAAAGAGTGTGTGCTGGAAATATTACACTGCTAGTGTCAGTAAAGACAACTGCACCATAAAGAGTGTGTGCTGGAAATATTACACTGCTAGTGTCAGTAAAGACAACTGCACCATAAAGTGTGTCTGCTGGAAATATTACACTGCTAGTATCAGTAAAAACAACTTCGCCATAAAGTGTGTGCTGGAAATATTACACTGCTAGTATCAATAAAGACAACTGCTGCACCATAAAGTGTGTGTACTGTATTTATTATCAATTATAAATTGTCTTTTATTGTTATTGCAGTTTCCACATAAATCTTTCATGAGATTTTCTCTCCAGGTTTTTTTTTTTTTTTTTTTTTTTTTAATAAAAACGTGCGCAATAAGCCCGTGGGTTTCTTAAAGGTTTTCAGTGATTCGTTAAGCAGCTTTGTAGAGTTTGAATATGATAAAGGTATACAATACCGAGAAGTTGATAAGACACATGTTCAACAGTTAGGTTTCTTTATTCCGAAACGTTTCGCCTACACAATAGGCCTCTTCAGTCGAGTACAGAGGAGGCAGCAGAAGTATCTCTACTGCTGCCTCCTCTGTACTCGACTGAAGAAGCCTACTGTGTAGACGAAAATTTTCGGAATAAAGATATCTAACTGGTGCATATTTTTTTTTCTCAATTTGTAGAGTTTATTTACTGGAATTAGTTACTTTAAAACTAAACTGTATGCTAACAGGTGTTTACCTCCTCAGTGTTGTATACACGTTCATCTCGTGGTTTCTTCAGTTCTTGAAACAATGCTTCTCAGTAAAACACTATGGTCCAAAACGTTGTTCTTGATAGCTTTATTTTTAATATCTGCACAATGTTTGTCATCTTCAGTTTGTGTGCCACTTTATCTTCTTGCAGTGAAACCCGCCAATATTTCCTGAGTACCCAAGATGATACCTCACTTGGTTGTATTACTTTACTGTGACAGAATCCACTAGTAGCTTTATTTTAACTGGTTGTTGAGGATTCAGATCTACTTCATATATCCCCCCCCCCCTTCAGTGCTGTAAATTTTGGATGATTGGAGAGGTTTGGGGGTGATGGTCAGAGGGAAAGGGGTGATGGGGCGATTATTGGGAAGGGAATGATAGTGAGGGAGTCTGTCATAACTGATTGTCAGTGTTGAAAAAGCGAAGAACTTCACCTGTAATTTTCAACATTAAGTTTTTTTTTTTCTAACCAGGATCTGACTGTTGAGTTTATTAATCCTGCGTAGATCTGACTGGCATTTGCGGTTAGTCTGATATTCATATTTGTGTAAATTATACACTAGTATCTCTACACCTGCTATCCCATTCACCTAGCAGTTAAGCGGTGGCTGTATCGGATGTTGTAGGATATTTCTTGAAAAAAAAATTAAAATGCAGATAATATTGCTGAAGACAGAGAAGACAACACACACTTCTTGTAACTTCAGATATTTTAGCACACGTGTCCACAGTCAACACTCCATGTTAACATAAACAGTTAGGGTGGACTCTAGGCTATTTAGGCATATTAGGCTATTGGGATTTTTTTACAAGCTAGTCAGTTAGGTTGCATAGGCCATTATGAATGTATAGTACAAGGTACTAACTGGTGGTGTGTGTTGTGTGGTGTTCGTACCACCAGCTTAGCGACAAGGTGGTGGAGGCGACAGCATCAGGGTTCAAGGACAGGACCAAGAGGAGGTTCTCCCTACCAGCGGGACCCAGGTTCGACTCCCGCCGCTCCTCCACCGTCTCCGTCTGCTCCTCCACATGTATGGTCCCACCCGCCTGCTGTACTTCTCTTTTCCATTATATCTCTTCTCTTTCCCTATTTCCTCTGCAACCGTACCCTAACTACACACACACACACACACACACACACACACACACACACACACACACACACACACACACACACACACACACACACACACACACACACACACACACACACACAACACACACACAACACACACAACACACACAACACACACAACACACACAACACACACACACACACACACACACACACAGAAAGCAGTATTCGAAGCCACAAGCTGCCCGGCTTTTGAGCATCTGTGGCCGAGTGGTCTGGAGAATCACTTGGGAAACCTTGCAGCCCTCCAGTCTACCCATACTTCTTTCTTATCGTTACCTCTTATGTGTGCTATACTTTTCACTCCATTGTCTGTTTCTTATTACATTATTCATGGCATCTACATAAACGTCGTCTTGGTAATAAAGTTCACTTCTCTATATCCTTTATAACTATTTTAACGCTTTCTGCCACAATTATATAACAAGTATGTATATACTGAATTTACCCATTGTGTCTACTCTGCCATTTGTTATGGTTTTGTTACACTAACACCACTTTAAGGGCTGGCACAAGGTATCAGGAGCTTTAGGTCAACCATAGTCATGCGTCCCTTCCCGCATTTTTTTCCAAAAAAATGAATATTATGTATTACTATGAATGCAAATTCCTCATTTAAATTAAAAAAAAAATCATGTAAATGAGGAGACCATGATGTGAACTCTTCATTATTATTGTTATAAAATTCTCATAGTATTTATACTTGAATAAATGAATATTAGAATTTTAGTATTTTCCTTGTTTAATGAGGGGCAAATTTTCTTTTATCAGTTTTTTTTCATCCTTCAGCTGCAGTTTAACATCTGTTTTTATAACGTCACCAGTTAGTCACTGTCTGGTGGTTCTTCTCTGGCAGTGTAGCTGGATGTGGTCTTTCAGTTCTTTCTGTAGCAAGAGAAAAATGCACCAGTTTTGCTATTGGTAACCTACTTGAAAGTGAAACACAGTAAAGTGTTGATATGGAGTAATGTAGCTATTGATGCGTATTGACTGTTGCAAAATTTCTTGGACTGTCAACTTTATGGAAGTCGAACTACTGAGCTCTGCTTTTTAGCTCATGTTTCACTAAAATTTGTAGCGTCATCACATTCGAGTGGCAGATTGACCTGATTCGCAGAGTGGTTAGATCAGAATTGTTGTCTTCATTTTGACTTCCTCTCAGATCATGACTGGCAGACTTCATTTCGTCCACCCTCATTCGATTATCTTCCTCAAATTCTACATTTCGTCTTGGTGTCGTGAACAACAGTAAAATAGGGATAATATTTAAAAAAATATTTTTGATTTTATTTAGTTTTTTTTTCTGTTTGCGATATTTTATTTAGATAATTTGCTTTATATTTGTCATCCCTCTGAAGGTATGACAAATTCAGAATTTCTCCACGCTTCCCTGAGGAAGCGTGAAGAAGCAACTTTTTGAAGAAGCATCTTTTCCAAGATGCTTCTTTCCCCCTTATTCAACCTGTTCTGTATATTTTGACATTTTTAAAAGGCTTCCCACGAGGTGGTAAGTGACAGGAGGCTTTAAAGTATTAGTACCATTTGGCAGTTGATAAACTTGGTTTTAAAGGTACAAGCTACGTTGTGTATTAGTCGCTGGTTATCGCATACACGACTGTGATGGAATGAAGTGTGATATTTGTTTACAAGTTTTGCTGCATCATGACATGTACTGTACATGTACCAGCCTACGCGTACTCATTTGAGTTTATTTTCCTTACCCCAACATACATTTCATACTGTCAACACTTGACACACTTTTTTATGAAGTAGTTTACTGAAGATAACGGATGCCCTTGCTGCCAAGAACATATGTAATGCAGGTAAGTGGTGTAAAGTGCATGGCTGTTACATCATATCACATTTATTTTAAACCTCACTCTGTCTTCGTCAGTTTTTGCAATTCTGACAATAAGCAAGGTGAGTCTTATCACTTGTCAGTGCTAAAATTGTCTTGATGAAGCAAGTCCTCTCTCTCGTCTCTGACAAGTAGTTAGTAAGGATAATTTCCACTTAGTTTTGATTTTTTTATAATAAATGCAAACTGTACAAATTTGTTAGTGTAAAAATAGTTATAATGTATACAATGATCTGTACATTCATTGAATTTATTGCTTATTTGCAGTTGTTAAACTCTGAATTACTAATAAATTTTGAGATGCACACAATGTAGTACCTCCCATAATTGCATATTAAAAATTTAATTTAGAGTTAATGTTTTAGATTAACATTTTTTTTATGAGACTAATCCCAGTTCCATACATTTTTTAATGTCTTCTCGTCTCTCACAACCTTGACATACCACTTGTTATACCACTTTACTATAGTACTGTACCTTCAGATTTTTTGCTTGATATTTTTCCAATGTTTTTTCTTAAGCAACTGTGTTCTTAACTGTATTATTCAGTACCCGGGTTTGTAGATTGTTAAACCTTTCTGTAGCTATTCTAAATTTCATTACCTTGCACACCTAACAGTGCACGACTGACATTGGTTTATTTTCCCACAGCTTCGTACACTGGATCAAGCAGTGAAGAAGATGAAGTCTCGCCACGAGAAAAGAACCAAAAGAACTCTAAAGGTTCGAGTGACTTCTGCGTCAAGAACATATCCCAAGCTGCTTTTGGGCGAAGGGAGATTGAGATTGCCGAGCAGGGTAAGTGGCAGTCACAAGGTGTAAATATACACAGTAAGCATGTATTACATTCCTGTGATTTTCCATGGATTTAGTACCACATTATAAACGAAACACGTGTAACATAAGCGAATCTCCATTATGAAAAGCTTTCGCCAACCAGTGGCTTCGTCAGTCAAATTGAAAAATACTGAGAAACACTGGAAGACATGAAGCAGTTGAGGTGATCAGTCCCTCAAACTTGACAGATGGTCAGTCCCTCAGCATTGACAGGTGTTGTCCCTTGGCCTTAACAGGTGTTCAGTCCCTTAGCCGTGACAGATGTTCGGTTCCTTAGCCTTGACAGGTGTTCAGTCCCTCAGTATTGATAGGTATTGTCCCTTAACCTTGACAGGAGCTGTTCAGTCCCTTAGCCTTGGAAGAAGGTGTTGTCCCTCAACATTGACAGGTGTTATCCCTTGGACTTGACACGAGGTGTTCAGTCCCTTAGCCTTGACATGTGTTCATTCCCTTAGTCTTGACAAGTGTTCAGTCCCTCAGACTTGATGGGTCTAGAGTACTTTATACTTCTGTATACTATATTTCTATAAAGAATGGCTTACAATTGGTATTGAAAATGTGGTGTTGACTTACTGCTATAGAAAACCCTTGGTTATGGAGAGCATTTTGGGCCAGTGAAGAGCTCTTGATCTAAGAAATTAGATTTTTTTCTTCCTTTCCTTGAATGAAACCTGATTACCTCCCATTTCCCCAGGCACTCTATGGCCCCTATGGGTTTAGTTCTTCCCATGAACGTTATAATAATAGTTATATTTATTAATTTTACTTTCAGAAATGCCTGGCATTGTTGCTTTGCGAAAGCGAGCTACAGATGACAAACCACTCAAAGGTGCCAAGATAGTGGGCTGTACACACATCAATGCCCAGACTGCAGTAAGTCTCAGAATTGTTTTGTTGTCTGATGATTTTGTTAGCTTGACTAAGTTAAGCTGCTTACCGGGTATTGAGGTTTTAGGAATGTGTCTTTGAGAATGTCTTGTTTCAGAAAAAAGGCAGTAGTTTATCTTGGTTTAAGTTTTGCATTAATGCCTACATCTCCACACTTTAAAGGACAGAACCCTTCAGAATTTATGCAAGGCTGTTTAATATACTTACATTATATACTGTACATTAAATATGAAATGTGTCTTCAGAATAAGAGCTTGTCCTTGTTGAATCGTTGATAATTGTGATCATAAAATATTTGCTTTGTAATATAAGTTTATTTCCTTGGATTCACATCACTTTGGCAGTGAAATTGTCTTCATGTAAAGTTTTTGACAGTGAATAACAGCATTACTCTATTGGTCAACAGATGATATTAAAGACACTGGTGTGGAGCAAGCTTTTATCATAACAATATTTCACCCTAGAGCCTCATCAAGTCATTGAGTGAATATAGCTTTACACAGAGCAAACCATTATCACAATAAAAGCTTAACACATGTGTCTTTAATACACTCATCAAGACACCTATGATATCCAACTGATATTAACTTTGTTTTCAGGTGTTAATAGAGACACTGGTGGAACTGGGTGCCAGTGTGCGATGGTCAGCCTGCAATATATTCTCTACACAAAATGAAGTGGCTGCTGCTTTAGCCGAGGCTGGTAAGAAAGTTCTTATTTTTTTTCTGTCCAATATACAGTAATGTGATATTAGGTGCACTGTGGATAGTTACAGTACCACATAAAATATTTATTATTCATGTATAGCAGGAGGCATTAGTTACAGTTGAAAACTAGTTTCTCTGTGATCGGTTTTGTAGTACTGTAGTTGCCACCAGGTGGACACAAACAACAGGCAATTATATTATTATTACATTCATGGACAAGTGCTAAACCTGTAGAGGCCATATAACACTTGGGAAGTGGGAGGCAGCCAGGACCAGGAATGGGAAGGCATCTCCAATTCTTAGAATAAGAATCCTTTACCAGCATTAAAAGTTATCTCATTCACTAGTTTCCCTAATGTAACACTAATCATAATTGGCACATGGAATTTTGTACATGCCAGCATTCATCTGAGTATCTTAAAAAGCCTTGTTTTTATAATAGAAGAACAGTATTTGAACTATTGAAGGCAAAGTACACATTAGACATGTAAAGTCATTGTAGGCATACATGTGTAGTCCCACACTATCCTTACTGCCTGTCTAGGATAGCATGGTAACCAATAATTTAGGTGCCTGACTGAATTTATATAGGTGTTAAAAAAATCTCTGTAAACCATACCCCCGGCCGGGATTGAACCCGCAGTCATAGAGTCTCAAAACTCCAGCCCGTCGCGTTAGCCACTAGACCAGCTAGCCACAATAAGATTCATCCAACTAGGTATATTTCTACACCATAGGAAAGTTAGCACAGGCACCTCTGTGACCACAAATGCAAGTTTTTACAGACGAATCTCCAGCTAGCGTGGCCATGACGAACTCTAGCTCAAGTTCCTTCACTGCCGTCAACATGGTTTATTTGCAATCGTGTCATTACAAAATCTCTGTACATTTTCCCAATTCCCAATTTTTCCTGCCTTAAGGGGTCTATTGGTGTACAGCAATATTTAAGTTGGATGAATTCTATAAGGATGGTATGATATTGTGATTAGGGAACTGCCCTGCTAATTTTCAGACTGGCTTGCAATGGGTGTGAATCCTGCTCAGGTCATCAGTTGTTTACAATTGTGTTATGATAACTTAGAGAGTCATGCCCATTTTTAGACAGTAATACTCAAAAGATCAGATATAGTCCTCTTAAATTAATTAGGTTTGTAAACTGAGATTTAAAGAGAGTGTGTGTTAATAAATTAATATTTTATTTTTCAAGTAGGGTAATTTTGTTAATAAACTTAAATGGCTTCATGGATTAAATACCAAATAGATTAGTTTTAAAGTACCTGTCATTATTTGTTCTCTGTTCTTAAGTATGGGTCTACTTTAGGCATTCTTGAATAGTTTTTTTTTTTAAGAGATGGTTTTAAAAGTTAATTTGAATGTCTAGAAATCATATATAACTTTTTTTGTCAGTGATTAAAGATAGTGATGGCTTTCTTCTCAGTTACATATTATCTTACATTATATATAGTCTCATCCTTTTACGAATTTCATTTCATGCTATCAACTATATAGTATTCTCAAAACTATAACAATGCTCCCAATATTAACTCCTGCAGATCATTCAATCTTTGCTTGGCGTGGAGAAAGTGAGGAAGACTTCTGGTGGTGTATTGACAAGTGTATTAACACTGAGAACTGGCAACCTAATATGATTTTGGATGATGGAGGCGATGCCACTCATCTCATGCTTAAGAAGTATCCAGCTATGTTCAAGATGATCAAAGGTAAAAAATAAATATTGATTTTTTGTAAAATAATTTTGCCCATAATGCACTAAAGTGTAAATAAACTATACTGTTTGAATTACTCTGTTGTACTTTGCCATTTTTCATTAAATCAGTATTTTATATATGAAATTACTTGACAAAAAAAAAAGACTCACAAGGATGAATTATGCATTTCACACCTTCAAGGTTTTGAGAAGCATTTCTTCCAGAAGGACAGGATAACATGGTACTAAAGATCATTTATCCTAAATGATAAGACTGTATTGCCACTCAGTAATAGAGTAATACCTCACTTACAACAGATTGCAGTCTAGAGAACATTTATTCACTAAAATTTACACATAGCAAAATCAACTTAATTGCTAATATCAGAGGTGCAATCTGTTTCAGGTATCTGTGAGGAGAGTGTAACTGGTGTGCACCGCTTATACCAGCTGAGTAAGGCAGGAAAACTTACTGTGCCTGCCATGAATGTCAATGATTCTGTTACCAAGACTATGTTTGATAACCTTTACTCATGCAGGGAATCAATTATTGACAGGTAAAAAAAGCATTATGCATTATTTCTTTTTATTTATATACATACTTATGCAGCATTTATATGAAATTTAAACATGCAAACTTTACTTTGCTACAAAATATTGTACTGTATGTAGTTCCATAATTATTATTTTCAAGTTAGTTTGGTTCAGACAAAAAGAACATTATTTTGCTAATTAAAATAGAAATTGCTCAGAAGGCTTTACACCGAAATTATTCATCTAGGAAGTATATCTTCTTCTTTCAACAAACCAGCCATATCCCACCGAGGCGGGAGGAAGTGTAAGTGTGTGTGTGTGTGTGTGTGTGTACGTGTGCATTTGTGTGTTTCAACAAACCGGCCATATCCCACCAAGGCAGAGTGGCCCAAAAAAGAAAAACAAAAGTTTCTCTTTAAATTTAGTAATTTATAGAAGAGAAGGGGATACTAGCCCCTTGCTCCTGGCATTTTAGTCGCCTCTTACAACACGCATGGCTTACGGAGGAAGAATTATGTATATATACACACACACATACATATATACATCTATATATTTTAACACTTCAACAATTTCCCACCAAGGCAGGGTGACCCCAAAAAAAAAGGAAACTTTCATCATCATATACATATATACAAACTATTATTTGTACCATCTCATTTAGTGTACAGCCTCTCCTCACTTAACAACAGAGTTCTGTTCCTAAGACCACATTGGTAAACGAATTTGTCACTACACAAGGAGCATACTATAATGGTAGTGGGTTTGTGTCAACCATCTTTGATATTGTTTTAATGTCACCCTTGCACTATATACTGTACTGTATATTATAATAAACAGAATGGAGGAAATCAGCTCTAATATACATTATTTGGGTATGCATACTGGTCAGAGAGCCCGTTGTAAGTTCGAGTTGTTAGCAAATGAGTACATCCCTAAGTGAGGAGAGGCTGTATTTTAATGTTTTTCAATGCTGTAATTGTTCTTAGAAGCCTTACAGGAACATTCATTTAAAAACGAAGTCTCTAGTACTTTTTTTTTTTTACCTCAACCTTTATTTCTTTTGTCCTTTTTTGGCAACATGGGACACTATAAAATATGAAAAGTTTTGTTGCTGCTGTCTAAGGATAATTCTTAAGTCAAGTGGAGTATTAGTACCAGTGTGGCAAGATGTAATTTTATTAGAGCTGGAGTCCATACTCCTGTATTTTTGGTACTCTGCTGATCATAGCTACATAGCAAATATAAAATTTCAGATAGGCTGCAGATGTAGAAGACTTGCTCCTTAACAGGTATAAATTGTTTCAAAATATTTAAATATATTTTATGGAGCAACTTGTACCAACATACAAGTTTTTTTTTAACTATGTGTTTCTTCTGGTAAAAAGTAGGTTCATTTTGATGAGCCTGAATCACACGAACCTAATTTTCATACCCTTCTTGAAAATGACTCATTACTGTGATAAGGCAGTGAAGATCATTGCTGGACTTTAAAACAATTTGAACTTTCATTATGTAAACATAAGCAAAACATGCACACAGCTGGTGTTTTGTGAGGTTAGTAATCCAGTTGATCTAAATTAAAATCTTGCTGAGGGTGGTATTATGAATTTCTAATTTTGTTTTAACTAGTTTCAGTAGAATAACCATATAAACATTTAATTTTCTACACACTTATGAGCTCAACTCATTTGCAAATATTTAGTCAAGGAAGATAAATATTCTTTTCTGTATCACCCACTTCGATGTGACAAAGACCCAAGAATGAGTTGACTCATAAACACTCGAACTAGAGTTTAGTGGCAACTTTAGTTTTGCGGAGGATAGTTCATGACTCCTATGGGTTTAGTGCTCCACTCATGAAATAAATAAATGAAGTTCACAGAATATCACTTATTTTTTCCATTACCAACAGTTTAAAACGTGCAACTGACGTAATGTTTGGAGGAAAGCAAGTGGTGATCTGTGGATATGGAGAAGTTGGAAAAGGCTGCTGCCAGGCTCTTAAAGGTCTTGGTTGCACTGTCTATGTCACTGAAATTGACCCTGTTTGTGCTCTGCAGGCATGGTTAGTGCAGTATATATTTAACAGTTTAAATTGTGCATGTTCTGTTACACCCATTTGATGTGCTGTATACTTTTTTTCTGTAGATGCTGTAAGGTAGTAAATGACAAATTATACAGTGCTGTAATTGTGAAGTTGTCTAAAAAAAAACATACCACGGGCGGGATTTGAACCCGCGGTCAGAGAGTCTCAAAACTCCAGACCGTTGCGTTAGCCACTTCACGTTAGTCGTGAAGTTGTCTTCCTGGCTCTTGCTTGTCTATAAGAATGAAACTAAAAACAGGTCATTATAAGATTTGATGTACCTTTTATCTAATACTTTTATTTATATTTTCCAATGGGGAAAGTACCACCCCTAGTGCTGATCAGTGACCCTTGTCCTTGGGAAAGAGAATAAACATACCTCAGGGTAAAATCTAAGATTGCATTAATATATGGTTACATATTGATAATTACATTAGTTTAGGAATTTACATGCATATAGAATTGTAAAGAGTAAATAAATGCATAGGTTTTAAGTTGCAAAGCTTATCGAGCTCCACAGATGTGGGTTGGGAACCCAGGATGCAGCAGGTGTTCCTTCTCTGGATTACTACAGTGAAGTGCTGGACAAAAAAAAGGTGGCATCCTTTGGGTCCATGGTAGTTTTGATGAACCTGGAAACCCAGTTTTTGAGGAAACCCATGGCATACTTTCCTTATGAGCCAAGCGTCTGTGATCCTGTACGGATTCAGCAATACTGGTGGACCAAGCCACAATACTTGCTGAGCTGGTGACCTTCCTAGTGATCCACAGCACCACCCTCTTGACCAGCACTAAATTGGATGTAGGTATCAGCCAGGGTAGATACATAAATAGTCCCACACCAACAGTATACCATTCTTCCAGGGATATATTGTGATCCTATCAGGGAGGTTGGCAGGGTGTTGGGTAGTAAAATCAAGGTTCTCTCAGCTGGACAGAGGGCTGTAGCCAGGCTTCTTTTGATGATCTCATTGACTTAAGTATATCTAACATGCCAACCTTTGCTACAAATACATTTGAATTGGTGCAACAAGGCAGAGAGCCTCTGCAGTATTAAGGGTCTGTGTGTCCAGATGTGTCTCACTCACCAGTTCAACAGAGAGAGTCCAGTCAGTAGGAGCAACAACTCAGGGTAGTCAAGACTTGTTCATTGGTGTGTTTGCTGAAGGACACCAGTTTGCATTTCTAAGGATTTAGGGAGAGATCTATATTTTATCCTTTTTCTTTGGTAATTCTGATGTCTTTATAATTAAATTATATAGCAAAGATTGATTACTAGAAGCTAGTTTATTATCATGGTTAAAGAAGTAGCATTTCAGGTCAAAATTATGTGTATTATTACAAGTATGATAGAAATTGATGTACACACATACACAGTTTTTCATGTTTTCCATGTACCTGCTGTCAGGATATATTTTTATTTCTCCGCATTACCCTCAACAGTATGGATGGTTTCCGTGTGATGAAGCTGTCAGAAGTCATCAGACAAGTTGATATTTTGGTGACAGCAACTGGTAACAAGAATGTAGTGACACGTGACCATATGGATAAGATGAAGAATGGAGCCATTGTCTGTAACATGGGTCATTCTAATACTGAAATTGATGTTGTAAGTTTTTGATACATACTTGTTTGTCATGTTTGTATTTAGTAGCAAAATCCATGATTGTAATTATACTAAGCCTGTTTATAATTACACTTCAGTTTTCATACTCCCCAGCTTGCATGTAAAACCACAGTTATTCTCTATAAAATATATTTTTTTTATGATATTTCCCATAAGAAATAATGTAAATCCAATCTGTTCCAGACACTCAAAAATATTAACAAAAAATACATTTTATGGAGAATAACTGTGGTTTTACATGCAAGCTGGGGAGTATGAAAACCGAGGATCCACTACATAACTGTAGTTAAATTAATAGTCATGCTAATGGTGACATATCTTAATATTTTATTGTAGGTATGTTTAAAAATCCTAGGTAGTAAGTTGATAGACAGCAACCACCCAGGGAGGTACTAACATCTTGCCAAGTGAGTGTAAAATGGAAACCTGTAATTGTTTTACACAATGGTAGGATTGCTGGTGTCTTTTTTCTATCTCATAAACATGCAAGATTTCAGGTACATCTTGCTACTTCTACTTACGCTTAGGTCACACTACACATACATGTACAAGCATATATATACACATCCATCTGGGTTTTCTTCTATTTACTTACTAGTTCTTGTTTATTTCCTCTTATCTCCATGGGGAAGTGGAACAGAATTCTTCCTCCGTAAGCCATGCATGTTGTAAGAGGCGACTAAAATGCCGGGAGCAAGGGGCTGGTAACCCCTTCTCCTGTATAAATTACTAAATTTGAAAAGAGAAACTCTTGTTTTTCTTTTTGGGCCACCCTGCCTCGGTGGGACACGGCCGGTTTGTTGAAAGGAAGAAGAAAGAATATATACACCCCTCTGGGTTTTCTTTTATTTTTGTACTAGTTCCTGTTTATTTCCTCTTATCTCCATGAGGAAGTGGAACAGAATTCTTCCTCCATAAGCTATGCATGTCATAAGAGGCAACTAAAATGCCAGGAGCAAGGGGCTAGTAACCCCTTCTCCTGTATAAATTACTAAATTTGAAAAGAGAAACTTTTGTTTTTCTTTTTGGGCCACCCTGCCTCGGTGGGATACAGCTGGTTTATTAAAGGAATAAGGAATGTGCAAGATTTCAGGTATGACTTGCTACTTCTACTTACATTTAGGTCACACTACACATACACATACAAGCATATGTATATGTATACACACACTTTTCTTCTATTTTCTCACTACTACTTTTTCTTGTTTAATTCCTCTTATCTCCATGGGGAAGTGGAACATAATTCTTCCTCTGTAAGCCATGCCTCTCGTAAGAGGCAACTAAAATGCCGGGAGCAAGGGGCTAGTAACTCCTTCTCCTGTATACATTACTAAATTTAAAAAGGGAAAATTTCATTTTTCTTTTTAGGTCACCTGCCTTGGTGAGATATGGCCAGTTTGTTGAAAAAAAAAAAAAAGTTAAAAAAAAAAAAAAAAAAAAAAAAAGCTGTTGTAGCATGCACAATTTCCTCTCATTGACCATTCCAACCATCTGCATTAGTATGAATACTTATTATTGTGACTTAGTTTGCACAGTGTGATACTTCAGATATACGTACGTACTGTAATTCAGGGTGGCTCAAAAAGAATAACAGAAGTTTCTCTTTTTAAATTTAATAATACAGTAGACCGTTATATTACACGGTAGTTTCGTTCCTGAAAACGCCGTGTTAGGTAACACCGTATTAGATAAACTGAAGAACTCGTGGGAAAAATAGGGTTACATTCCTGGGAGCCCCCAAACAATTTTTTTAGACCAACAGATCTAACAAAAATAAAAGTGAATATGTAATTGTAGTTCATTATTGTGATATACATATTACTTTTACTGCTTAAGACTACAAATGCAACAAAAATAATAGTGTTTCTTACCTTAAATTGTGGGTACTGGTGTTTGTGGATGATTGTGAAGAGAGTGGAGATATATGGTTTGGCCCTGCTGGGCTGAGGTGGATGGTTGTTTGTTGTCAGCAGAAGTGGATGGTAGAGGTTCTGGTACTAAAGTCGATGGTTGTATTGGAGTGTGCATAAATTCTGTAATGGATCTCTGGGCTATAACCCTGCAGTACATTATACAGCTGACAGTAAGGCATAATCAGCTGGTCTAGACCCCATTTCAAAACTGCTTCTAGATTTGTGAGGGTCTTCGTCAGTGAAAAAGTCTGCTAGTTTAGCAGCAACATGGAACTGCTCATGTAACTACTGCAGTGTTAACTGTTTTTCTTTAGGTTCTTCTTCATCTTCTGTTATGTGGCTCCCTTGTATCTGTGCATCAAGCTCTGCCAACATTTCCTCTGGACTCCTGTCTTCATCATCATCATCATCTCTAAGAGCTCATTCATATCTTCATTCATATCTTCAAAACCATCACCTGGTAATCTCCTTGCCAGCTGAACAATTTCCTGAACTTGACTCAAGCACGGGAAAACCAGTGACTGATTTGACCTCCAAATTACTGGTAAGGTGTTTTTATTTACACCTTTCAAAGCACGAGGATTCTTAGAGCGGTAAATAACCATGGGCTTACACTAGAAACCACCTGACACATTACCGCAAAGGAGCAATGTGAATTGATCCTTTGCTCTTGAAACCCTGTGCACTCTTCTCTTGCTGACTGATGTAAGTTCTTGTTGGCATTTTCTTCCAAAAAACACATCTCGTCAAAATTAAACACTTGATGTGGCTCATAGCCACTCTCAGAAATAATTTCCTGCAATTCAGCAGGGAAATTACTTGCTGCTGTATGATCAGCTGAAGTGCTTTCACCAGAAAACTTAATATTATGTAACTTATTACACAACTTAAAGTTGTGAAACCAGCCTGTACTAAACATACTTTTTCAGGCCTTCCTTATCACACAATGCTTTAAACAACTGTAAGGCCTTTTCCCTAATTAAGATGAAATTAAGTGGTGCACTTTTCTTTGTTTTTCGTTCGATCCACTCAAGCAACAAGTTTTCAGTTTTATACTTGTTGTGACGTACGTGTCATTCTTTTCATGAGATGACATCCTGGGTTATTTATTACACAAGCTCGTATATTCACTTCATTCTTTCTAACCCTTAAACTGTCCAAGCAGATCTACGTTTCTTTTACATATTTTCAAATATAAAAAAAAAAAATGTAAATCAAAGTTTTTTTACACGTTTTCAAATGTAAAAAAAAAAAAAAAAAAAAATCTACTTTTTTTACGTACTTTCAAATGTTGAAAAAATGTAAATCTACGTTTGGACAATTTAAGGGTTAATTGTACGAACTGACGCTTCATTAAGACCATAGGCCCTCACTATATCAATCACATGTGAGCCACTCTTAAACTTGCCTAATATCTCAATTTTCTTCTTAACCCCTAGACTTAAATGCTTAAACCTTTTCTTGCCTCTTTCAGCAACACTTGTATGCCTACTGGGTGCTATGATTGCTTGGCAGATACAAAATATGGCAATTAAAAGATCTAAACTCAATCCACAAACAAAATAATAAACAAGCCTAGCCCCTAGTTGTGTTGGGGAAGTATCCCGCGGGTGATGCTCCAAATTTTTTAACCTCCCGCAAACTGTTAAGTTAATTTTACGAAGTGTTGTATAAAATTGTGCTACAATTTTTCAATAGTGCAATAACCAAAACGTGCCAAATAAAATCATGTAATATAATGGTCTACTGTATATACAGGAGAAGGGGTTGCTAGCCTTTTGCTCCCCAGCATTTTAGTCACCTCTGACGACACGCATGGCTTACGGAGGAAGCATTCTGTTCCACTTCCCCATGGAGATCAGTGGAAATAAATTAGAACAAGAACTAGTAAGGAAATAGAAGAAAACCCATAGGGGTGTGTATGTATATGCTTGTACATGCATGTGTAGTGTGACCTAAGTGTAAGTAGAAGTAGCAAGATGTACCTGAAACCTTGCATGTTTATGAGACAGAAAAGGCACCAGCAATCCTACCATTGTGTAAAACAATTATAGGTTTCCATTTCACATTTACTTTGGGAAGATGGTAGTACCTCCCTGGGTGGTTGCTCTCTACCAACCTACTACTTACAATACTTATTACTCTACTCCATATTATCCTTTAAGTAACTTTTTTCTATTAAAAGTTTATATTACTTATTTATTTCATGGGGAGAGCACCAAACTCAAAGGAGATGGTTCTATAGAACCTTGAGATTGGGAGGTAGTCATATTTAATTCAAGAAAAGGGATGATAGTGACAGTTCTTTGGATCAAGAGCCCTTCACTTGAACCAAGGCACCTTCAAGGGGTTATTTTCATTTTATCCTTTCTTCACTCTTTCTTGTATATCCATAACTATAAAAGTGTAATCTACAAGCTTTGTGTAAGTTTTCATTAAGTAGAGCCAAGTGACATCTGTTACTTGAAAGTGAAAATAAACCAGCATGCACCTCGAGATTTTGTGACAAGTACTGAATGAGCTCCTTCAAAATGAACCTAAAATATATATGATAGGGAACATTCTACATAATATTATCCCTTAAAGGTGTCCTAATATTAAGAGTGAGTGATGCAACCCTTTTTTTTTTATATAAGATAGGATTTTATGACACACTGTATGGTCTCCAGAATTCTCTTCGCACTCCCGACTTGACGTGGGAAAAAGTTCGTTCCCAGGTGGATCATGTCTTGTGGCCTGATGGCAAGAGGATCATTTTGTTGGCAGAAGGTCGTCTTGTCAACCTTTCCTGTTCATCTGTTCCATCGTTTGTTGTCTCCATCACTTCATGTACTCAAGTAAGATACTGACAGTGCTCTAATGCTTTATATAATGAGCTACTGTAATTATTCTAAATTACATATACATCATATTGTTAAAGGGGGAATTAATAACTTTGCAAACTTTTAAATTATTGTTTGCTGTACTGTGTACAGTACTTAGGAATTAATAAATATTAAGTACTTGTTCTTTGTGTTGATTTAAAAAAAAAGTTAGTTTTTTTTTTTTTTTTTTTTTTTTTTTTTTTTTTTGTCCAAGACCTCTTCAAGGGGGGCTCCTTGTTGTGGTGAAGAGGCTCTTGGTCTGAGGAATTAGACCTGTCGGTCTCCTTCCTCAGACCGAACCTAATTACCCCCCAATCCCCCCTTCCCTATCCCATCCTCCCCTTTTTCCTTTCCTCCTCCTCCTCCCCACCCCTCCCTTTTGCCCTTCCTCTTTTTGGCCTTTGGGATTTCTCCCACAGGCACGCTAGTTCCTAGGTAGGGAAAAGGATACCGGGGTCCATCCCATTCCGTTGAGGTTCTTGGCGGTGGCGTAGTTTGCCGTGGAATCTGGATCGCCTGGGGATGTCCCGATCCCTCTCCGGTATCCCGGAGTGTAGCTTTGGGTGTCTTTTGGGCGACGGGTGTATCTCTGGAAGCTACCTTTCGGATTCCGGGGGTGGTGGCCGAAGGAGGTATGCTTTGTGGTGGATATCCGGCCGCCCTCTCTTTTGTCCACCGAGGTAGCTCGGCAGATGTGAGGTTGCTATCTCGGATTGCTGGTTTACTGGCATGAAGGGTAGGGTATGGCACGGGTTCCATGCTGCATCTGCGCTACTAGCGGTGCTGAGGTCCTCTTGGGCGCGGAGGGAGATTTCCGGCCCTTTCCTTCCTCCTGGGAACTATTCCTCCCCTCTCCCCCCTTTTTTTATTTTTATTTTCTTTTCTTCTTTCTTTTTTTTTCTTAAAAACAAAAAGCAAAGGAGTAACCTAACCATGGAGAACCCAATCCATGAACCCACTACCCCCAGGCCCCTTCTTGATACCGCACCCCATTCTGACCCTGCCTTGTTTTTAGACCACTCTTCGGACACTCCTGATGCCCCTGTACCTCTTGCTGGTGCTGTTTTCTCAGCCGCTTCAGGTACCGGGGCTTCGACTGACTCCTTCGATTTGTCTGACCTCCGCTCTCCTTTGACTATGCTTCCGGCCTCTCCTCGGTACGGCAATTTTCAAATCGCCAGCCCGTTTCACGATGGACCAACTCCGGTCCTACTCCTAAACGCCAACGTCAATCTCTTGATGATGTTCCTTCGTTACCTTCCCATTCTACTCAGAAAAGACCGACGCGTCATGCACTCCCTCTCCACGTTCAGTTTTGGACCACACAATGGACTAAATTCTTTACTTTAAGACCGACTTCTTCTTCTGCCTATCTTTCTGACCATAGTATTGGCAAAGCGCTCCTGCGTCATGTTGGTAGAGATATTTCATTTCATGCTCTCAAGAGCGGTACGCGCATCGTCACAGTCCAGAATGCTACCCAAGCTCATGATCTTTCTCTCCTTTCGCATATTGATACTTCTCCTATCACTATTGAAAAACTTCTTTCTCTCAATTCTTGTAGTGGTACTGTCATTCTGCCCCATACCATAGTCCAACAGAATTTCCAGCCATGTGGCAATGACATTCTTGAACAGCTAGAACTCCAGGATCTCCCAATCCTCAAAGTCGACACTTATGTCCTTCCTGCCCGTGGGCGGAGACATTACCCTTGCAATGTGGCTCGATTAACTTTCGACAGCCAAGAACTCCCGTCCTCTGTTTATGTTGTGGGACATAGGTTACAAGTTCGAAAGGTGATCCCTACACTGCAACAGTGTAGAAATTGCTGGCGTTTTGGTCACCCAACGAAATATTGCAGATCTATAACTGAATGCCCAGTCTGTGGTGCCGACGACCATTCTAATACATCTTGCAGTCAACCTCCATCTTGCTTTAATTGTAATGAAGCTCACCCTTCGTACTCCCACCGTTGCCAGGTCTACTTAAATGAGCGTGAAATCCGTTACCTCAAAGAGGCAGAAGGTCTCCCTTATGCTATGGCAGTTACTCATCTCCGCATCCAAGGAAGACTACCCCATGTTTCTTATTCTCGTGTTTCAAAACATCCCCCCACTTCTGTGGTCCTATTTTCTGCAGCCTCCTCTGTTGTTACCCCTCCCATAGCCACTCCGGCATCTAATCCTTTTGGTGTCCTTGGCTCTGACGTCCCGCCTACAACTCAGTCTGTTCTCACATCTTTGCGTTCTTCCTCACAAGCCCCAGTATCGACAAGACCTCGTACGACACCTTATACCAATTGCCCCTCTACTTCTACTACATGACATGATGCCTCCCACTATCGTCCCATCGCTCTTACTAGTGCAGTTTGCAAAGTGATGGAACTTCTGGTAAATCGACATTTAATGTGGTATTTAGAGACACACAACAGTCTCTCCGCTAGTCAATATGGCTTTCGTAAGGGCCGTTCTACCATAGACCCCTTACTATGCTTGGATACGTATGTTCGTAATGCCTTTGCGAATAATCACTCAGTTATTGCCATATTTTTTGACCTTGAGAAGGCATATGACACAACCTGGAGGTATAATATTTTGGCCCAAGCCCACTCCTTAGGCCTCCGAGGCAATCTACCATCCTTCCTTAAGAACTTTTTAACTGACAGACGCTTTCGTGTTCGAGTCAATAATGTGCTTTCCCCGGACTTCGTCCAAGCTGAAGGTGTCCCTCAAGGATATGTTCTGAGCACAACACTTTTTCTCCTTGCTGTAAATGATTTGGCCTCTGTTCTTCCACCCAATATTTGGTCATCACTCTATGTTGATGACTTCGCTATTGCTTGTGCAGGCGCTGACTGTCATCTCATTGCAGTTTCTCTCCAGCATGCGGTCGACCATGTTTCCACTTGGGCCACCACGCATGGGTTTAAATTTTCCAGTACCAAAACTCACCAAATTACTTTCACTAGACGCTCTGTCATCTCCGAATCTTTGTATCTCTATGGCTCCCTTATCCCCGAACGTGATACAGTCAGGTTTCTAGGCCTTCTCTTTGACCGTAGGTTATCCTGGAAACCTCACATTACCTCTGAAGGCAACTTGTCACAGCCGGCTAAACCTTCTTAAAACCCTTGCTCATCTTTCCTTGGGAGCTGATTGTCGAACTCTGCTTCACCTACATTCAGCCCTCGTTTTATCGAAACTCGATTATGGTGACCAGATTTATTCAGCAGCCTCTCCTGCTACTCTCTCTAGCCTTAACCCCATCCATCACCAAGGATTACGTTTATGCCTTGGTGCTTTTCGCTCTTCCCTTGTTGAGGGCCTCTATGCAGAAGCGTATGTTCCATCCTTGTCTGATCGCCGTGATGCCCATTGCCTTCGCTACTATGTACGCTCTCACGATCTCCATAATCCTTCCATTTATAGAATGGTCACCGATATTAGTAGACATTCTTCATTTGTTCACCGCCCGTTTGCTCCGTCCCTTTTCTCTTCGCTTACATTCGCTCTTGTCTTCCCTTCAGTTACCACCTTTATATGTTCATGTAGCATCTCACTTTTCCCTTCCCCCTGGGAAGTTCCAGCTGTTCGGGTCTGTTCTTTCTCACTCCGTTGCTCGAAAGCCCAACTGCCTACGGTGGCTTCCCGCTCTCTTTTTCTTGATCACTTCCACTCTCATTCTCATGCCATCGCTGTGTACACAGATGGCTCTAAGTCTTCAGACGACGTCGGATTCGCAGCAGTGTTTCTGGACAGCGTCGTGCGGGGGCATTTACTATCTTCGGCTAGCATTTTTACTGCTGAATTGTATGCCATTCTTGCAGCACTTATTCGTATCGCATCTATGCCTGTGTCATCATTTGTGGTAGTTTCAGACTCCCTTAGTGCTCTACAGGCTATACGAAAATTTGATACATCTCACCCCCTAGTTCTCCGTATCCAACTTTGGCTACGCCGTATCTCTACCAAGCATAAAGATATTTTTTTTGATGGGTCCCTGGTCATGTCGACGTACAGGGCAATGAACAGGCAGACACTGCTGCGCAGTCAGCAGTACATGACCTACCAATTTCTTATAGAGGCGTTCCATTTCTGGACTATTTTGCTGCAATAGCTACCCACCTTCACACCCGTTGGCAACAATGCTGGTCAACTCTGCTTGGTAACAAACTTCAATCTATTAAACCGAGTATAGGTTACTGGCCGTCTTCTTGTCATCAGTGCCGAGGTTGGGAGACCACTCTCTCCCGCCTTCGCATTGGCCACACTTGTCTTACTCATGGGTATCTCATGGAAAGGCACCCTGTTCCTCTCTGTGAGCAGTGTTAAGTTCCAGTATCGATTCGCCACATTCTGTTAGACTGCCCTGTCTATCAACGAGCACGCAGAATTTACCCCCAACGTTGTCTTCGTTCTACTACTCTCTCTTTACCTTCCCTTCTTGCTGATGGACCATCCTTTAATCCTGACTCTCTCATTGACTTCATGACAACGACTGATTTACTCCACAAACTCTGATGTTGATACCTTTCGCACTCCGCTCAGCCCTGTCTAGCTCAGTCTCTTTTTGCTCTTTACCCTTTCACCATCCACTGCCCTGCTGTTATCCGTAACCTATTACTCATCCATCTCCCTTTTGCCATCTGATGCCCTCGCTTCCTTCCTGCCCTGCAGCGCTGTATAGCCCTTGTGGCTTAGCGCTTCTTTTTGATTATAATAATAATAATTTTGTCCAAGAAGCGTGCCACATCCCATCAAGGCAGGGTGACCCAAAAAGAAAAACAAACATTTCTCTTTTTAAATTTAGTAATTTATACTCAAGAGGTTTTAGTTACATGTATGGAAATAAAAAACGAAATGGTTGCTTATACATAAGTAACCGTTTCTTTTAGAAACAAAGCTGAAACTATTTTGACGCTTAGAATAGGCTAATGAATTATTTCAGGCAAGCAAAAACAATGATAGGAAAGGTTAATGGTTAGATCATAATCAAACTTAAAAAAATAAGAAAATTATAATATTGTAGAACTAATTTACATTTTAAAAGGTTTAACATTAATATGAAGAATTGTGTAGGCAAAAAGCAAACAATCTTCAGGAACTAGGCTTAGTTACATAAACATTAGTTTATGCTGTGAGTGATCTTTATACTATTCCATACTAGATAAGAAGTTCCTACTTTATATGGTCAAAATGCAAATACTCAGCCACAAGACTACCTCACTGGTAGTTACCTAAATACTCATATATAGCACCAACAAATTCTACTGAAGTCTCTCTTATAATTAAATCATTAAAAACAAGGCAAGAGACCTAAATGACTTAAGAGATAAGATAAGATTTCGTTCGGATTTTTAACCCCGGAGGGTTAGCTACCCAGGATAACCCAAGAAAGTCAGTGCGTCATCGAGGACTGTCTAACTTATTTCCATTGGGGTCCTTAATCTTGTCCCCCAGGATGCAACCCACACCAGTCGACTAACACCCAGGTACCTATTTATTTACTGCTAGGTGAACAGAACAACAGGTGTAAGGAAACGTGTCGAAATGTTTCCACCCGCCGGGAATCGAGCCCGGGCCCTCCGTGTGTGAAGCGGGAGCTTTAGCCACCAGGCCACCGGGCCACCAGTTATGTATAAAAAAGCAGCTCGTGTTGTCCCCCATTATTGCAACACTATTTAACAAATCTGCTGAATCTTCTAAATTCCCATCCATACTGAAGATGGCATGGGTCACCCCAATCCATAAAGGAAGGGATCCTACAGAGCTAAATAACAACAGACCAATATCTAACTTGCCTTTGCTCTCAAAAATCTTCGAAAAAATAATACATAAAGAAATCTACTCCTACTTCCTATCTCATAACATACTGAACTCCTGCCAATTTGGGTTTAGGTTAAAAAAAAAAGCACAAATGATGCAATTATTCAGATGCTCGAATTACTATTTACAGCAATTGACAAATATAAATATCCTCTGGGACTCTTCATAGACTTACAGAAAGCATTTGATACAGTCAACCACAACATCTTGCACCTAAAACTAGAGCATTACGGGGTCAGAGGACACTCGCTCAACTACCTAAAATCATATCTTAGTGGTAGACACCAGTATATGTACACAAATGGTGTATAGTTGTTGGAGTGTCCTAGGTCCTCTACTCGTTCTTATTTATATCAATGACCTCCCAAATACATCGCAACTCCTTAAGCCAGTTCTATTCACAGATGACACCACTTATTTCTTCTCCCACCCAAACCCGGCTATATTTAGTAGCACTGTAAACAGCGAGCTACTTAAAATATCAAACTGGATAACTACCAACAAACTTACCCTCAATATAGACAAAGCCTACTTCATGCTTTTTGGAAACTGAGCATCAAATATCCAGCTAAACATATCGATAAATGGTTCACCCATTGACTGTAATCTTAAATTTCAGACCCACATCCAGCATATAACTAAGAAAGTTTCCAAAACATTAGGTATCCTTTCCAAGATACAATACTATGTATCCCATTGGGCCCTCCTTACCTTATATCACTCTCTAATATACCCTTACCTCACCTATGGTATTTGTGCTTGGAGATCTACCACAGCCAATCACCTCAGACCTTTAATAACCCAACAAAAAGTGGCAGTGAGGATGATCACAACTCCAGTGCCAGACAGCACACCACACCCCTCTTCAAAAAACATGAACTTAATATACATACTTATTATTGTGCCTACTACATATGCAGAACATTAAACTCCAATATCAACCCTACACTCAAACTTTTCCTAGATAGCTTCAACAGAACACACAGGCATAACACGAGGCACAAAACACTCTTTGACATCCCTCATGTCCATCTTGCACTTTGCAAAAATGCAATGCACATAAAGGGCCCTAAGATCTGGAACTCTCTGCCTGAAGCAGCAAGAGGACCCCTGCCCACAAATCAGTTTAGGATCATACTCAAAAGTTATCTCATCTCTCAATAACAAACCTACCCACACTATGCTAAACCCCAACCAAATTCAAAGCAATTTCCCCAAATACGCACACCATACTTTATTAACCCTTAACTATTAAGCCATTTTTACAAACTTATAAATGTATGTTTGTATCATTAATTATACTACCTCATAATAATAAGAATAAATGGACTTAATTACAAACTTAAAAATGTATGATTGATTGCATCATAAACTGTACTACCTCATATTAATAATAGAGTAAATATAGAATATTTGTATTCTACCACTGTGAAAGAACTTAATTACTTACTTAAAAATGTAAGATTGTCATAAATTGTACTACCTCATATTAACAATAGAGTGAATATTGACTATTTGTATTTAACCACTCTTCACCTGTCTAGACTTCAGTAGTCTATAAGTAATAGGTTAAGTCTGCCTGAAATGCCTCGGCATGATAGTGGCTTTCTTTGCTTCAATCATATTATGATATGTAAACACACATTGTAACCTTAGCAAAGGAATAAATATTTTTTATTTTTTTTATTTTTAAAAGGATGTCAAAAATCATGATGCCACTTAAAATCTAATAAATGTTGTATATCCCTACTCGGAAAAGGATAATTTTCCAGTAAAAGCAGACCTTAGAGAGGGATGTATGATATCACAATGGTGGTTTTACATATTTATAGATGGGGTTGTAAAAGGAAGTGAACACTAGGGGTGTTGGGGAGAGGTGTGGGATTAAAAGATAACAAATTTGATGCATCTCCATAGGAAAGTGAGACAGAATTCTTTCTCTGTAAGCCATGCATATCATAAGAGGCACCTAAAATGCCAGGAGCAAGGGGGTAGTAACCCCTTCTCCTGTATACATTATACTAAATTTAAAAAGAGAAACTTTCGTTTTTCTTTTTGGGCCACACTCCTTTGGTGAGATACGACTGGCTTCTTGAAAGAAGAAGAAATATTATGAAAGTGGGAGTTGTCACAGTTGCTCTTTGCTGATGAAAGGTTGATGGAGGAATGTGAGGGAATATGTAAAAGAAGGAAATTAAAAGTGAACAAAGGAAAGAACAAGGTAATGAGAGTAACAAAGAATCTAGGCAGTGAAAGAATGGAGGAAGGAAATTTGGAGGAAGTAAATGTGTTCAGATATTTGGGACTGTAGTAGTCATTGGATGGATCTATGAAAGATGAGGCAAGCCATAGTATTGATGAGGGGAAAAAAAAGGTGAATGATGCATTGAGGCATCTATGGAGACAAAGAATTTTATCTGTGTAGGCAAACTGGGAAATTTACCAGAGTATGCTGTTCCAACACTGTTACATGGTTATGAAGCATGAGGTGTAAAAGTTACAGTGAGGAGGAGGCTGGAGGCAGTGGAAATATCGTGTTTGAGGGTGTGAATATCACGTAGAGGATTCAGAGCTTAGAGATTAGAAAGTGTGGGTTACAAAAAGTTCTATTTAGAGGGCTAAGGAATTAGAATTTCAGAGGTACAAAATACTGTAAAATACCTTAAAAGTTGGGTAGGCATACTGTAGTTTAGTGGGTCATTGCTGCACTGTGATGCCTGTCTGATTCTGGAAAACCAATTAAGGAGCAAGTCATAGTGTGCTTTCTGTGGGTCACCCTGTCTTGGTTTAAATTTTAAAGGAAACAAAGTATACTTTTTTCATTGTTATTATTATAAATGTAATGGTTTGTGTAAAAATCTGAGCAACACAGTCTCACATTATATGATTTATAAAGCTTTACATAATTTTATATTTTGTAGGCTTTGGCTCTGATCGAGTTGTTCAATGCACCTGCTGGGCGCTACAAGTCTGATGTTTATCTTCTTCCCAAGAAGATGGGTATGTTATAAGCACTTGCAAATTTTACCATTATATTAAAAACATGATTATAAGTTACCAAAACAGCATTTTCAATGTTATTTTAGTCAGTCACAGTAGTCTCATTTTCAAGATACAGTAGGACCCTCAACTTAGAATGTTAGAGCTTTTATTATTAACCTTGGTAATGGATACTCACATGTGGCTTAAAATAAACATGTGAGCAGACATTAGGATACATAAAAAGTTTTGGTCCTAGGACCTTGATCACTTATACAAAAGTTTAAGAATACTAATATATGCAGTATAGACAAAGTTGAGGCATAAGTGACTGGTAAGGACCTCATGAAAATGCATAGTAAGGATGATTTTTGAGATGGCATCAGGTAGCCCATAAAGTCACTTTTATTCCCATATTGAGGTGAATGAGGCTTAACCTTGTTGAGTATAAGATGTGTCAGTACTTGCAACATGTAGCTTCCAGTGTTTTGATTGGGTGTCAGTGATGGTGATCAGTAAGGCTTCCAGGCATTATTGATGTCTAAGGTCAGGTTTAAAGATGATGAGTTGTATCTCTTTCCAACTTAGCAAATATTTCCTGGAGTTTCTGTAGAGGACAGGCATTGCTTCAATCGTTCCTGTTGCAGGCATATTGATATTAACTCATGTAGATAGATACTGCAGACTTCTGCCTGTGTCCCCTACATATTTGTTGGAATGGGTAGATGCATGCTGTGGATGTACGGGGTGTAGGGCTATGCTTCTTGGTGAGGTTCTTGATGGAAGATGTAACCACAATGGCTAGATTGATGATGCTTCTATCAAGTACCTGGCAGGTGTTCTTGGCAACATTCCCATCAGAAGCACTAAGAACTGCTTGGAGAAAGGGTCAGTGAGAGTTTTGTTAAGAATACTTTGAGTCTTGAGCCTGCAGGCTGGGATGAAGAAAGAGGAGAAATGAATCATGTGAAGGCTTGTGTTATGAAAGTACACTTTCCTTCAAGATAACAATTGATGGAGATGCAAATGGCTTTCAAGAAGAAACCAGATAAGGCACCTTAATTGGCACAGGTACCATAGTGTGAATAAATGTACGTAATCCTTGTTGGTGGGTTTCGGGTACACCTGGAAGAGAAGGGTGTCACTGTTGGGAGACCTGCACAGGACATGGAGGAAGGGTTAGTCTACCCTCCCTCTAATGTGAACTTTAGAGATAACTTGACTGTTGATTTGTTGAGAAGGGCCTGGATATTAAAATATCTGGGATAGATCAAGATATAATCAACATAGCCAGGAAACAGTGTTGGGAATGAGGGTGCTGAATTTCTCAGTCTCCAGGTTCTCCATTAAAAGGTTGACAAGCACAGCATGAAGAGGGCTACCTATTGCCATCTGAAAGCTTTGTTTTTAGCAGTTATCTTGATGCTTGAAGAACTTAGTTTACACAAGAGATCCACTAGGCTGATGAATTACAGTGGACCCTCGGTTTTCGTCCTTAATCTGTTCCAGAAGGTCAGTCAGAATCCGAAATGGACGAAAACCAAAGTAATATTTCCCATAAGAAAGAATATAAATCCAATTAATCTGTTCCAGACACCCAAAAATATTAACCAAAAATAAATTAAGTTATTAACCCTTTCAGGGTCCCCAGGCCCTCTCCCAGACTTGTTCTCAGGGTCGCCCAAATTAAAAAAAAAAAAAAAAGAAAGAATCTTTTCCCAATCATAATGACACCAAAAGTATGAAATTTGATGGAAAACTTACGGAATTATGCTCTCATGAAGTTAGCGGTCTTGACGATGTTTATGCATCGGCGATTTCGCCCACTTTGAGCCCTATTGTCGGCCAATTCCAGTGTACTAGTTAACAAAAATCATAACTATTTCGCTAGAACTCCATTTTTTCTATCGAATGAGTACAAGAAACCACCCATTTACTGATTTCAACTATCCAATACAGTGGTCAGAATTTAGCAATTTTGCCAATTTCACACAAATTTCACAAGATGCAAATTTCCAAATAGGGTCCAGAATAAACAAGAAAGACATTCCTGGCACTAAAATAACATTTCCTCTGTTCATTTGTCACGTCCTCACGCCCCTCTTACATTCTTTTGCTTTCCACTTTGAATTTTTATTCTCGCAAAAAATAGAAGATTTACTGTTATGCAGACTACTGCATTAGTGTAGAAATGGTATAAATAATATCGGCGCACTTGTGAAAGAATATTAGACTCACCAGTTGACGTGTATTGGACGCTTAGCATGATTTGTTTACTTTTGAACTTCGGTAAAAATCGAACATTTCTGCTACTTTGAGCTCAATTTCAAGGTACTTTTCGTTGTAAAACCAGTCAAAATCATCTCAATTTCTGTAACATGTCTTCCATTCTATAAAATGAGACCAGGAAAACTAGAATACAACAATAAATACCATACGAAAATATAGTGCAAAGTTGCTGTTTTAATCCAAAAACACAAAGGTTTTTTTTTTCTCATTACCCACTGTGTGCTGAAGGATTTTTTTTTTTTATACTGCGCACACTGACCACATAGACCCATTCTTTCATATGTAGGCCTACCAGCTTTCTCTCACTAGATTTGAGGGCGCTAGAATTTAGGCATACTAGTACATCAAAAACCCTGGTGCGTAAGCCGTACTAGTACGTCCGAAACCCTGAAAGGGTTAATAAAACTTGGCATTAAAAAAAACAATAAAAAAGTAAAATACATATACAGTACATTTCTTACTTACCTTAAAATATTTGTACATAGTCTTAATGTAGGGCAAGAGGTGAGTGGTATTTATTTGTAGGAAGTCAGTGTAGGTAGCTGGTAGGTGTAGCCCGCCTGGGCTGCACCTACTGGCTGCCTACATTGCGACCCAGAGCCATATTATTACCATCAACATACCATGTTTCTAACAACTACCTTTAGATACCATCATAAACAAAGGGAGAAGTAATGAATAATTCCTGCCGAGAATTGTAAACAAAAGCGTTATGTATTAAGGGCGGTGACTGGGCCAACGCAGATTCATACACGTTTTCTCCAATTTAATGTCCTCAAGAATGATTATTATGTATTAGTATTATTACTATGGCGTTAAAACTAGAGGGACTCTCTTAGTGAACGAGTAATAAAGGCATGTTTATATGCTATGTAACATGTTTCTTATATAATTTTGAAGAAAATATCATAGATGGATTAATGAAAATGTCTATATTAACGTAAAATAAGACATTTAATGTGGCCAAGAGCGAGTCACGAACGTATGAGTGGTCCAGGCGGATGTGTCAGGTATGGACGATTTCCGAGCGGATGTACAAAACCCGGGGTAAAATTTCGCCGAAAAAATGGTCGAAATCCAAATTGTATGATTTCCGCACTGGACGAAATCCGGGGGTCCACTGTACTTGAGAAGTTATGGTTATCAGTGAGCTTCTATCCCAGAATGTTAATGGTAGCATCTGTGGGAAAGTGATTAAAAAATAAAAAGCAGTGAAATCAGAAGCCATGCTCTTTTTTTTATTATTCAAGTTAGAAAAGCAGGAAGTGTTACCTGAGCATTTGAGGTGCACCTGATTAATAGTGCCTAGTAGTGCAAAGAGGTGCTTGGGAAGATGACCAGCTAATGTGTTGAGTGCTCTCTTGTCCAAGGTGATAGGGCAGTAGGGGTATACCAGACTTGTGTCTGGTTATCCTGGTAGAAGGTATCAAGTCTCTTTCCCTGTTCTGATTTGCATAGGATGTTATGGGCTTTTTTGTAGAAACATTTTTGGTACTCTCAAGTAGCAGTGGTTGTGAAATGGGCTGGTATATGTTGGCATTGCTGAGGTGGTACAAAAAGTCTGTTATGATAGGCAGCATTGTTAACCCCCCCCCCCCCCCACACACACAACACACAGTAGCAACCGGTGAAGAGGCGGGGCCAGGAGCTAAGACTCGACCCCTGCAACCACAAATAGGTGAGTACAAATAAGTGAGTACACACACACACACACACACACACACACACACACACACACACACACACACACACACACACACACACACACACACACACACACACACACTCACACTCTCACACTCTCACACTCTCACACTCTCACACTCACACTCACACTCACACACACTCACACTCACACACTCACACTCACACACTTACACTCACTCACTCTACAATAGTGTGGAATTTGTGAGCATATGGTGTTAGATATGATGCAAAAGAAAGGGAGGCAGGCCAACTGCTGCCTAACCCTACACATCACCCCACATTGCATTCTACCACAGCAGTGAGGAAGTGGCAAGTGTTGGTCAAGTTATGTATGAAGTAAAAGAGGGTGGGAGTGAACAGGACAGTGAGAAAATTCAGCTGCTACCTACCCCCCACACATCTGTAGCTTTGGTCTGTATACATTAATTGAACAAAGTTTAATACTTCTCACTATTTGTTAGTCAAATAGAACATGTTGTAAATAAAATATTGGGTAAATATTCCCACTTAAAAATTAAATGAAATTAAATATGGATTATGGCTTAGAAACACATCTCCAATTATAACATGGGTGTTTGTGGGAAAATAGTTTACAAGTTCTGAACACTAATGTGTTCCATTTTTGGGAATGTATTAACATTGCAAGTTGGGACTCCTCTATACTGATTTATGGAATTTGGGTTAATTACTTTCAGAAACATTTTGTGAACAGCATTGTATGGGACACATGTTAATTTTAAGTAATACAGTGTGTGATAAGTTATACGTATATTAGAAATGTTATTTATAGTGATTTCTGTTGAATATAAAAATATGAGCTGAAATGCAAATATTTTTGATAATATTGGGTTATACCAAATTAATTGCCTCTTGTACTGAATGTTTATTTTAATTAAAACCTTTAAGCACAAATAGGTTAGAAATATATTTGTATCTATTTTAGATGAGTATGTAGCCAGTCTTCACCTGCCTACGTTTGATGCTCATCTCACAGAGCTCTCTGATGAGCAGGCAAAGTATATGGGCTTGAACAAGGCTGGACCATTCAAGCCTAATTACTACAGGTAAGCAAAAGAAAAAAAAAAACATGACTTATCTGTGTGGTTTTTCTGTTCTTCAGTAAATTGCAAGTTTTTTATGTTATGCTAGCTTTTAATATTGCACAACTGAATATAATTATATAGCATCATTAAGTATTTATAGGTCTGGCATGTTCACATACTATTTCAGAAAAATGGACTAAACCTGTAGGGGTCATAAAGAGCTGTATATTAGGAAAAACAATTGGCACACAGATAGTCATACAAACATCAGAGAATGATGACAACAGAGTAGATAATGGTCATACAGTAAAGAAATGATCTAGCGAAAGCATCAGTCCTATAAATTAGCAGTAGTTGCATAAAACATTACCGAATTTCATCAAGGGTTTGTCAAGGATTTCTTGATCTAGGAATGTGAACTTCATTCCCTTCCTTGGATTACCTACTTGCATTGTACAGGTTAAGCACCTGCCCTGATTATAATAATTCTTTCATTCCTGTGTAATTACCTCCTACAGTCTGGCTTTACCCAAATCATTCTGTTCTTGCTTCTCTCCATCCTCACTCGTTTTGAAATATTTTGATGTACTGTACAGCCTCTCCTCACTTAGTGATGTACTTGTTAAGATAAGATTTTCTTTGGATATTTAGCCCCGGAGGGTTAGCCACCCAGGAAAGTCAGTGCGTCATTGAGGACTGTCTAACTTATTTCCATTGGGGTCCTCAATCTTGTCCCCCAGGATGCGACCAACACCAGTCGGCTTACACCCAGGTACCTATTTGCTGCTAACAGGACAACAGGTGTAAGGAAACACGTCGAAATGTTTCCACCTACCAGGAATTGAACCCAGGCCCTCAGTGTGTGAAGCGAGAGCTTTAGCCACCGGGCCACCGAAGACTCGGACTTACGATGGGCTCTCTGACCAGTATACATACCTAAATAATGTATATTAGAGCTGATTTCCTCTATTCTGTTTATTACAATATACAGTACACTACTGTGTAAACATTTAAAAATATACTAAAAATTTTATAAATGGTGCAAAGGTGACATTAAAACAATATCAAAGATGGTTGACACAAACTCACTACCATTACGTATAGTATGCTCCTTGCTTAGTGATGAATTCGTTTACCAACATGGTCATAGGAATGGTACTCCATCGTTAACCCTTTCAGGGTCGAGAGGCCCTCTCCTAAACTTGTTCTCAGGGTCGAAAATTTTTAGGAAAAAAAAAAAAATCTTATGAAATGATAGAGAATCTTTTTCCGATCATAATGACACCAAAAGCATGAAATTTGATCGAAAACTTACGGAATTGTGCTCTTGCAAAGTTAGCGGTCTTGGCGATGTTTACACATTGGCGATTTTGCCCACTTTGAGCCCTATTTTTGGCCAATTCCAATGTACCATTTGACAAAAATCATGACTATTTCGCTAAACTCCACTTTTTCTATCAAATGAGTACAAGAAACCACCCAGTTACAGATTTCAACTATCCAACAAAGTGGTCAGAAATTTGCAATTTTGCCAGTTTCACACAAATTTCAAAAGATGCCAGTTTCCAGATAGGGTCCAGAATAAATAAGACAGACATTCCTGGCACTAAAATATAATTTTCTCCGTTCATTAGTCACGTCCCTAGGCCCCTCTTACATTTCTTTTGCTTTAAACTTTGCATTTTTATTCTCACAAAAATATAGAAGATTTACTGTTATGCAGACTACTGCATTAGTGTAGAAATGGTATAAATAATATCAGTGCACTTGTGAAAGAATATCAGACTCACCAGTTGACGTGTATTGGATCCATGACATGATTTGTTTACTTTTGAACTTTGGCAAAAATCGAACATTTCTGCTAATTTGAGCTCAATATCAAGGTACTTTTCATTGTGAAACCAATCAAAATCATCTCAATTTCTGTAATATGTCTTCCATTCTATAAAATGAGACCAGGAAAACTAGAATACAACCATAAATACCATATGAAAATTGCAAAATCGCTGTTTTAAACCAAAAACAAGGTTGGATTTTTTATACTGTGCACACTGACCACATAGACCCATTCTTTCATATGTAGGCCTACCAGCTTTCGCTAGAATTTACGCGTACTAGTACGGCACCAACCCTGAAAGGGTTAAGTGAGGAGAGGCTGTATTCCAGAAACTCCAGATGACATGAAAATACATCCATAGTAATTCTCCTTAGCATTTATGCATGATTATGACCCAGCAGATAAGCCTATATTCATGTTAAATTCTTATGTATTGGCAATGCAATAAATTGGGGAAGAAATTTTGATAAATGTTTTAAGAAAATCTTAACATCTTCATTACTTTTTTCAGGTATTAAGTTGTATCTGTGGCACAACTGCAGTAGACAATTTCATGGGACTGTATGCCATTGGTAATGTAGAAGTTTTAGAGGCAACAGTTGGCATACCACTGGTGAAAGAGACATGGATGTGACAATACTTCACCTAAAACAAAATGTATGTTATTGTCAGGGATTTTAGAATTTAGACATTTCTCATTTAGATTTGTTCTTGTTATAGCATACATGGGTTGTATTGAGGTATCCAGTTCTCATTGTCTTAAATATTACATATTCTGGTAGCTACATAATGTTAATTGTCGTCTGCATATATTAATAAAGACCAGAAATATGTTTTGCAACATTCAAAATGATCCCTTTTAAAATGCAGAATTTATCATCATATTGTTTTATTTAAAGCCTTTGTAAATAATAATCTTGGGAAACAAAAGTTTGAATATTAGCAGTGCTGCAGTTATTACAGCTGTAAAGATCCTTATACCTATAAGCATTTTATGTCACACCATCAACCAAGTACCTGATGACACTTTACTGCCAATCAGCTCACAGCAGTGCTCAGGTACAGTGGGATAGCAGGATAGCAGATGTTTTAAAATATCTGTATAATCATTTTTTTTTTTTACACAAGAATCAAAGTTACTAACAAGCTTATCTTCAATAATTCTACTCTTTATTATGTATTTCTAGGGGAGTAAAGCAGGCATGAATTTTATTGAATTGTGATTTTCAACAAGGGCATCACATATTTCAAAATGATTACCAGGTAGTAAGATAATCTTATTTTTATACTTCCAAATATTTACTGCAATAATTACAATTCTGACAGTAAAATCATTCTGTATATTCACTGTTATGGTATATTTTTATTCATATTATGGTAGTAAGATATGCTCTGCTAGATCACGTTTTCATGTTAATTATATTACGTAATTATAACTGATTGTTTATACAGTTTGTCAATTTATACAATTTGTCACTTATAAGCTGTTACATAGATCCAGCACCTGAGAAGGGTCTTATTGTGCTTCTGTAATAACCTAGCGAGGCCAATTGCTGCTTATTAGATACTGACAGGATTTCATCACACTGACAAAATAAAAATTAATATTGTGATACTGAGTGTTGGCAGATTTAATGAAAAAGCACTGGGCAATAAAATAGTTGAAAATGGCCAAAATTTTTTTTTGCCTCTAGGTTCATTCAGAGTCATACAAAAAATAAATACAAGCTGCTGGCAGGTTTTGTTTTATACTCCACATTCAACTTGAGTGTCTGTCTACCTGTCTTGTCTGTGATAGTTGTAGAGGTCAGAACCAATGATAAAGGACCAGAGGCCAATATAACCACTACAGAGAATGCATTTGTTTATTGCTAATATGGTGTGTGTTAGCAAAGGGAAAACTGCCACTACAGTACTAGCAGTGTTTAGATCAGTCTTACAAGGCTAATATGAGAGCAACAGTTTTAATGAAGTGCCCATACTAGCAACTTGTATTTGTAGGTAAAGCTTGCAGCCTTTTTTTTTTCTCTTGCCACTTTGTGGCACTTGGTAATACAGTAATAGGAAATATGCCAGTCTTTAATCAAGTTAGGCCAATTACTGTTTAGTGGTGTTTAAGGGATCTAATAATGAATTGCAGCCTTATAATAGAGTATTGAGATTTTAGGGAATATCAATCCTCTGTAAGCATATTTAGAATGTAGGCCATGATATGTGCCCCAGGAGGGAACTTGAGGGGCAGTAACATTTTTTTTCTTAAATGCTTTTAAGTGACATCAAGAAGGCGTTGTTGCTCAGTTAAGGTCCGAATTTTGAAGCATTATGTGATATAGACGTATATATATTTGAGACATTACCTGGTGCCTGGGATGTAGTTCATACCTATTGCCACAGCAGTCGTATAAGCATTTATCTTCTATCACATGGTACATCAGAACATAGGCCTTATTATTATTGTTGTTACTGCTGTTACAAGTGCTGCCCTCACAAGCTCATCATTCATTCATTCTCGGATGGTGCTGTCGAGACAATCATTTGTGGCATCATGTCCTCCATACCTTAGGTATGCCTCATTACCCGACTAGTTTTATCTGAGCAGATTTCAAACAAATACCATTTTGCAGACTGGAAATGAGGCATTAGTACAAATTGGCTCCCCTTCAAAGATATTCATGTAAATAATAGAAAGGGCTTTGTTTGTACCCCTGTGGTATGGTGAATACAGTTCTATACATTATCTACAAAAAGACGGATCGATTTACATTCTTTATACCACTGAAAATGTTCAGCATTTTCAACTGAGAATGATTATCCTTGTCCATTAGTTTACTAATTACCTTCCATATAATTTTAATTGTATGACTGTGGCCATATCCTTGTCATACCAGCAGGCTTGGAGTAATTACATGATTCAAGGTAAATTACAGTTTCAGTTACTCTTCCAGATTTTCAGTTACTTGATCAGAAAAATAGCAAATTACAATTACTTTATATTTTGTATTAATTTTTTTTTTTTTTTCAATTTAAATTTTGCTTAATGCTAAAATCATTGCTAAATGTTTGAAATAATAAACAGACATTTTACTTAATATTTTGTATATAAATGTAAATACTTGAACCATGCACAAGAATACCATTAGTTACATTTTCAGTCAGAGCCAAACAGATGGAGAACATGTACAAAACATTTGTTGCACTATATTAGCCAAAGATCCAGGAGGATTACAAACAATAGATAAGCTTCAGTTCATAAAGTGTACTTCACTGTGTTAAATCTAAGACATAATGTTTAATAATATCATTTCATTCAATACAACTTAAAAGTGAAAACTGCACCTAGAAGTTGAATAATAATTTTTATTTTGACATGATACAAAGGAATATAATAGTTGGGTGTACATGCCAAAAGCCCCTTTGTATGCAGAGCATTTCAGGCAAATTTAAAATTAACTGAAGTTCATACGGTCATTAGATGAGTTACAACAAGTACATGAGAATTGAGTATTCTATTAGTTAATGCTCTATAGCTGTAATACATCTAGTAGAGAAGATTTTTTGCATAAAGTTATAATTGGGTTATTTCACAATTTCAGTTTATTAAGATTCAAACATGGAAGGTACTAATAAATTTCTCATTTGTACTTTACTTTATTCAGAAATTCACAGAAGGTTGAAGGCCCTACATGTGCTAATTTTACAAATGCAATTACTTCAAGGCTGCATAACATCCTGTGTATGACACTTTCTTATTGTTCATGGAAGTTTGTGTGTGGAAATATTAAATTGCTCTTAACGAAGACAGTATTAATTTTTCATCCACATGCTCATCTTGTATACATTTCATCTTATAATTGATCTACATTATAGAAATTTTAAGTATTACTAAAAGATGGATCAGTAAAGGTTACATAGGCCTCATTTTACAGAATTTTAACTTTATAAATAATTCCGTGCCATTGATGCCAGCACCATGTCGACTATTTTCAACATGTCTTATCTAAACTTCAATCAAGGGCTCTGCAAGACTGAATAGTTTTAATATTTAGTTTTATGATATTTTAATGTTTTTACATGTAATACTGTGTCCACTAAAGCATAATTGAAGTACAGTATATTGAAGAATCCCTACTCACCTCTTAGTGAGCTGTCATCTGCACTGGTACTACTCACTTGAAGAACTGCAAAGTTGAAAACCTGTAAGGAAATAAATTGTTTGCATAAGGGAATATTTGCTTGTACAGTGGACCCCCGCATAATGATCACCTCCGAATGCGACCAATTATGTAAGTGTATTTATGTAAGTGCGTTTGTACGTGTATGTTTGGGGGTCTGAAATGGACTAATCTACTTCACAATATTCCTTATGGGAACAAATTCGGTCAGTACCGGCACCTGAACATACTTCTGGAGTGAAAAAATATCGTTAACCGGGGGTCCACTGTATAATTAAAAAAAAAAGGTTTAACAAATTAATTACCATATATTCTTGGCCATAAATTGAGAGGCATACTTCCAGTAAAAAAAAAGCAAGAGGGCTAGTAACCCCTTCTCCTGTATATATTACTAAATTTAAAGGGAGAAACTTTCGTTTTTCGTTTTGGACCGCCCTTCCTCGGTGGGATATGGCTGGTTTTTTGAGAGAAGACTCGGTAAAAAGAAAAAAATGTTTATCACTCTTTACCCAGACCTACTCCTAAGTCACACTGACTCATTATAGTCATAATCATTGAAGTCCTCTGTTGTTTTCACTGGAGTCGAGCTGTAATAATAGCATGTACCATGACCACTGGTGCAGTAGGAACTACCTAAGATCCATTCATATTAATTTTAATAAACAAGTGTGCTAAACCAAAATGGATGATACAGCACTCCTTTCCTTAACTGTTTGCAGTTGCAAATTAATTTTATGAGGAAAATGAAGATAAATTTTTGGATGCCCAAAACCAAAAACAAGTCACCTTCTAGCCAATTTTTTATTTTATTCATAGGAGTACTTTTACCTTCATTACTGAATACATGGCAACTCACTGAAGATGTGTGTAATGACTTGCTATATTGTTCATAGTTGACAAGGGGTACATTTCAAAGACAGTTTAGGGTGTTGTGAATTCATAAACACACAATGTTAAAAAAAGACACCTATTTTTCATTTTTATTGCAAATTCATAACAAATTTTATAAGCTAGAAAATATGTTAACAATTAGAATTCTCAGCAATCACAAATCAAAGACAAGCACTATACATTTTCTATTAGACATTTTGTCAGAACAGAACACTACTTCAAAATTATACAAACTAGAATAAGAAAGCATAATCCACAAATGATACCATGTTGCATCAAAATTTGTAGTTACATGTATGATACAGTACTTGTTGTGGTGTACATGTACTGGTATGTCATCACCCTTATCCCTAGAGGTTTTAAATATTAATTATTAATAAAAAAAATAAGTAAAATTATAGTATTAATACATTTTTCAGTATGAGGAAGACAAAATATACATAAGAGGGATTTGGATAAACTGTACTGTACACAAACCTCTACTGCAGGGGTGGGGAACCTTTTTCTCTGCCAAGGGCCATTTGGATATTTATAAACATCGTTCTTAGGCCATACAAAATTATCGACTTAAAAATTAGTCTGCTATATTTAGTCAAACATTAAATTAACTCTCACCTTATGTGATGACTGGAGCTGCTTCTCTTTGGTGAGACGTGTGATGTTAGATAGTATTGATGATGTTGCATCGGAAATATGTTCAAAATGAAGATTGAATATCAGAATGGTATACAATATCGACAGGTTAGTAAGTAAGGCACATAGGCAACAGTTAGGCATCTTTATTCCAAAACGTTTCGCCCACACAGTAGGCTTCTTCAGTCAAGTACAGAAAGTAGGCAGGAGCAGTAGAGATGTGAAGACGATGTAATCAGTCCATCACCCTTGATGACTGAAGAAGCCTACTGTGTAGGCTAAAACTTCAAAACAAGATGCCCAAAGTTTATACGAACATTATTAATACTTACTACATTGTAGTAAAAATACCTACCCAAAACAATACTGCCTTACACCCAATTGTAACATTCTCATACTGTAAACTTTCAACAACTCGCAATGTTATACAGTGGACCCCCGCTTAACGATCACCTCCCAATGCGACCAATTATGTAAGTGTATTTATGTAAGTGCATTTGTACGTGTATGTTTGGGGGTCTGAAAAGGACTAATCTACTTCATAATATTCCTTATGGGAACAAATTCGGTCAGTACTGGCACCTGAACATACTTCTGGAATGAAAAAATATCGTTAACTGGGGGTCCACTGTATTCCCGTAATATAATTTCAATATTTTATTATTGAAACTATTGTAATTTGAGTACAATTAATGTCTACTATAAATAAAAACAGATGTACAACTTAAACTATGATCAATTTATTTAGTATCAAGTAGTCTGTAAGCTATTAAATTAAGTCTGCCCATAATGCCTAGGCATGATAGTGGCTCTTTTTGCACTGGAACTCATTGTTGTCATTTCATATTCTCAATGTAATCTTGCAAAGAAATCAAATTTGTTTGTTTGTTTGTATGATGCCTAACTGTTGCCTATGTGTCTTACTTACCAAACTGAAAAAGACAATGGATGGGAGACCGATTCAAAATCTGAAACAGAACAATTGGATTTTATGAAATACTGCAAAATTACTCGCATGTAAAAAACATCAATATATTCTTCCAAAGGGCCCCAATTTTTATAATGTCAGAATAAAAGCTAAAAGGTGTCTTCATAATTCTGCATACTTAGATTTTAGGTTTCGTATTTTTTTTTCATTATACATGTACAGTGTAAATTGGTATGGGGAAGGGTTAATATAAATTTATGTTGCTATGAAAAAAAGCTCCTAGATTTGAATTTCAAGTCCCACTTGCAGTTGCCTTGGCAGAGCCAGACCAAATGATTTCGCAGGCCTGAGATGGCCCGTGGGCTGGACATTCCCCACTCCTGCTCTATTGCAATGCTGCATATTCTAAAATTCTCCAGATGCTGACAAATAACTTTTTTTTTACCATACTTAAAAAGCATATTACAGTATAAAAAAAAATAACTTATGGTTGAGAATATATGGTAGTTGTAGCAGAATCTAAAAGTGAATTTATTTTACTATTTGAATGTATAAGTTGAGATGCTTAGATTTTTATATTATTTTTAATAAAAATATTTGATTTTGGAAATACTATGCCAGGAGGCAAAAAAAAAAAAAAAAAAAGTGCCGTATATAATATTTGCACTTACAGGTATTCAACATAAATATAATACTGATGACTTTTTGAAGGATGTCAACTGCTTTGGAACTGGGTTCATAATTGTAAAAATACTTTATGATGAGTTATGCATGTGGATATTATTATACAGAAATAACTCTCTTGTTCAGAATTCTACAAATATATTCTCCCAGATTCTGAAAAACAGATTTTTAATGTAATTTAAATTTTTATGAAAAGTACAGTTTTTTTTTTAACACTTGAAATTTTCAAATCACAAAGAAAATTCAGTAGTTTATTGAAAAAAGTACTTCAGAACTGCTTTCCTGGAAGTATTTTCCACTTTCTGTTCAGAATGATCTTGAATTTGGAAGCCAATAAAAATGAATTATTCTGAATAAGAGGGAAATCACTGTACAGTATTATAATTAGTTTCATGTGCTATTGGATATGCAAAAAAATTTAAAAAACATATTGACTGATTTCAAGCAATTTAAATGAAATTTTTAATATGTAATCATGCAAGAATATGTATTTAAAGCAGAGCATGCAACACTGTAAGTGCTTAACTTTTTTCTTGAAAGTTAAAAGGTTATCCCTCAATGCCAGGACACAGTGAAAGCGTTGGGCTTGAAATAACACATAGCAACAAAGAAAAGAGCAAGAAAAGTAATTTACTTTGGGTGTGTCCTGCACAGTGGGTGAGGCATTTAGTGTACAATCTGACATTCCAGACACCTTTAACAAGTTATGGTGTTTAATTATTGTATTTTGGGGATCTCATTGGTGCTTGCAGTGTTTATTATTTAGTACTATATTTTGTTTAATTTTGATGGTTTAGAAACTTTAAAATGTTAAATATTTTCTAAGTAAGTCATTTGTGGATAATTCGATTCACATATTTTCTGCATTTTTATTATTTGATGTTTCACACTTCCCATCCTCAAATTAAAAATGTGTAAAATGTATTTCTCCTTTTTCTTTAGTATTTCCCAAATTGGCTTTACATTATGTATAGTGTTACTCACCCACATGCATTTTTTCTAATGTACTATGAAGACTTCATTATGGTAATGAAGTTCCTCTAACCTACAGAATATACGAGAATTTAGCCTCTGGAACATGTTCTTACTAACTTATATAGTGTGTCTATTCAGTCCTGTTAAAAAGTTGGCGAGGGTAATAAAATTGTATTAGTTTGTAGAAAGTATTGGTGTTTCATTTTCCTCTGGTAGAGCAATAACAAGTGATAAATTGCCAGTTGTTCCTGGTAACTGTTTATTATTATGATGCTCCACAAAACAAGTACTAAACCTGTATGAGTCATTCAGCACTACATTGCAGATGGGTGTTTATATCAGAAAAATTAATGTGATGTATGGAAGCATATATTAAAAAGAATTCAAAGTTTTTGCAATCAATCAATTTCACTTAAGAAGTCTTGCAATCTGCACTGAGGGTTGGGCTTTCTAATAAGGCAAAAGTCAAGGTGAGAACATCAAGGTATTGAAGGAATGGCTGAAAATTAATTCTTATTATATGCTCTTAGATAAACTTGACAATCGAAAGTATTTTTGACCCAACAAGACCTGATAATTTAAAAGCACTAAGATAGACATGCAAATGCCATTTCCCACAACCTCCTGATTAGAAACTTGACCTGCAACACAACTGTAGTTTATTACCTCTTCAAGGGGGGCTCCTTGGCGTGGTGAAGAGGCTCTTGGTCTGAGGAATTAGACCTGTTGGTCTACTTCCTCAGACTGAACGTAATTACCCCCCAATCCCCCGTTCCCTATCCCATCCTCCCCTTTTTCCTTTCCTCCTCCTCCTCCTCCCCACCCTTCCCTTTTGCCCTTCCTTTTTTGGCCTTTTTTTCTTTTTTTTTTCTTTTTCTTTTTCTTCCCTCAGGCACGCTAGTTCCTAGGTAGGGGAAAGGGTACCGGGGTCCATCCCATTCCGTTGAGGTTCTTGGCGGTGGCGTAGTTTGCCGGGAATCTGGATTGCCTGGGGATTCCTGATCCCTCTCCGGTATCCCGGAGGGTGGTTTGGGTGCCCGGGCGACGGTGTATCTCTGGAGCCACCTTTCGGATTCTGGGGTGGTGGCGAAGGAGGTATGCTTTGTGGTGGATTTTCTGCCACCCTCCTTTTGTCCACCGAGTATAGCCGCTGATTGAGGCTGCTATCCCGATTGCCGGTTTACTGGCATGATGGTAGGGTATGGCAACGGGTTCATGCTGCATCTGCGCTATTGCGGTGGCTGAGTGTCTCCTTGGGTCCGGAGGAGATTTCTGCCCTTTCATTCCTCCTAGGACTATCCCTCCTGGTCCCACCCTTTTTTATTCTTTTTTTTATTTTATTTTCTTCTTTCTTTTTTTCTTAAAAACAAAAAGAAAGAATAACCTAACCATGGCAGCCCTAGTCCATGAACGTGCTACCCCCGGGCCCCTTCTTGAACCGCACCCCGTCTGACCCGCCTCGTTTTGGACCACTCTTCGGACACTCCCCTCAAGAAGGTTCCTATGATGTTGGTAGGGCTCTTGATTTAGGTATTGGTCTGTGCTCCAGTTCCCGAATTAAGCCTGAATGCCTTCCACATCCCCCCCCCAGGCGCTGTATAATCCTCCGGGTTTAGCGCTTCCCCCTTGATTATAAATAATTCGGACACTCCTCTGCCTCTGTACCTCTTGCCGTTGCTGTTTCCTCACCCGCTTCAGGTACTGAGGCCTCGACTGACCCTTTCGATTTATCTGACCTCTCGCTCTCCTCTGACTATGCTTCCGGCCTCTCCCTCTACGGTGCAGCAATTTTCGAATTGCCGGTCCGTTCCATGTCGGACCAAACTCTGGTCCACGCCTAAACGACAACGACAATTACCTGCTGATGTACTTCTCCACCTTCTCGTTCTTCTCAGAAAAGATCGACACGTCCTTCACTACCTTTCCCACGCTCAGTTTCAGACGCAACAATGGACTAAATTCTTCACTTTACGACAGACTTCCTCTACTGACCTATCTTTCTGACCACAGTATGGCAAGGCACTCCTCGCCATGTTGGTAAAGATATTTCTTTTCATGCTCTTAAGACGGTACGCGCATCGTCACCATACAGAATGTACCCAGGTCATGAGCTTTCTCGTCTTTCCCATATCGATACTGTTCCTGTAACATGAAAAGCATCATTCCCTCAATTCTTGTAGTGGTACCGTACATTCTGGCCCATTACCATAGTTCAACAAAATTTCCAGACATATGCACTGACATTCTTGAACAGCTGGAACTCCAAGATCTCCCAATCCTCAAGGTAGACACTTACGTTCTTCCTGCCCGCGGGCAGAGACGATACCCTAGCAATGTGCTCGTTTAACTTTTGACAGCCGTGAACTCCCATCCTCAGTTTAGGTAGCAGGACATCGGTTACAAGTTCGAAAGGTGATCCCTACACCGCAACAGTGTAGAAATTGCCGGCGATTTGGCCATCCAGCGAAATATTGCAGATCTATCGCTGAATGCCATTTGTGGTGCCGATGACCATTCTAATACGTTCGCAATCGACCTCCTCTTGCCTTAATTGTCATGAGGCTCACCCTTCGTACTCTCGCCGTTGTCAAGTCTACTTAAACAAGCGGGAAATCCGTTACCTCAAAGAGGCAGAAGGTCTCCCTTATGCCATGGCAATTTCTCATCTCCGCCTCCAAGGGAGACTACCTCGTGTTTCTTATTCCCGTGTTTCAAAACGTCCCCCACTTCTGGTATCCATCTTCTGCACCCACCTCTGTGGTTACCTCTCCCATAGTCACTCCTGTAGCTAATTCTTTTGCTGTCCTCGGCTCAGACGTCCCTACTTCAACGTCTCAGTCTGATCTTGCTTCTTCGTGTTCTCTCTCACAAGCCTCAGTAGCAACGAGATCTCGTATGACCCTCCTCCCAATCGTCCTCTACTTCTCAAAAGTCAAAAAAAAGGTCCGATAACACCTCCTACCCATTCTCCACCTCCTCATTTTTCCCTTCCCTGTCTCTGTACCTGGTTTCCCCCTCTCACTGGCTCTGTTACAAGTGTAGAGGTTCACCCTCCTCCTCGTACTGTACCTTCCTCCCCTGTTCCCTCCCAAGTTTCTTCCTCTTCTGCCACCTCCCAGGTTTCTGCCTCTTCTGTCCCCTTCCACGCTTCTCCAGTTCCTCCACCCTTTCACCCCCCCCTACCTTGGTACAGTCCATTACGTTCCAATCTTTACTCATCCTCCCCCTACCATTTCCAATATTGTCTCCCATACGACGTCTCTGAATTCTGAAACACTTGAAGCAATCTCTGAATATATTGCAGAGACCAAACCATCAATGGACACTGATCCACCCTCCGCTCCTTCTCTCTCCTCATCTCCATCTGCGCAACTCCTTTCTTCACAGCGCACCGTTCCTTCGCTGCTTGAACATTTTCCACTGCCTCTGCATGTGGACTTTTCTAACCCCTCTAGTCCGTAGGAACCCTTACCTGCGGATTTCAGGTATCTTTATCATTGCCAATCATGGCCTATTTACAGTGGAATATACGCTCCCTCAGGGGTAATCGGGGAGAGCTTCAGATGTTACTCTCCCAGTTTTCCCCTGTTGGTGTTTGCTTACAGGAACCAAAATTACACTCTGCTGTTATCTCTCCCATCTCAGGCTATAATTTATTGTATTCTTCAGATCCTTTTCCTGATGGGACCTTTAATGAAAGTGCCCTTCTTCTACGCACTGATATTCCGTACCATCAGCTATTTGTTCGTACTTCGCTGCATTACACAGCAGCCTGTATCCACTTGCATAGGTGGTATACGCTCTGTTCTTTATATCTCTCTCCTTCTCGGGCATTATCTATTCCGGATATTGCCTTTCTTGTTTCGTCATTACCACCACCGATTCTGTTACTTGGTGATTTTAATGCCCACCATTTCCTCTGGGGGGGGAGGGGGTGTCTCACTGTGATTCCCGTGGCATTCAGTTAGAGGCTTTTCTTGCCACCCTTCCCCTCCATGTTTTAAATACAGGTACTCACACCCATTTTGATCCTTGGACTCACACTCTCTCTTGCATCGATCTCTCAGTCTGCTCTTCCTCCGCCGCATTAGACTTCACTTGGTCTGTTCTTCCGGACTTACATGACAGCGATCATTTCCCAATCATTCTTACTTCCCCTTCATATTCACCACCTCTTCGCATCCCACGCTGGCAATTTGATCAGGCAAATTGGAACCTTTACTCACACCTAACTGTTTTTAGAGAGGTTCCTTCTTCGTCCTCCATCGATGAGCTTTTACACCTCTTCTCGTCCTCCGTTTTAACCTCAGCTTCTCATTCTATACCCCAAACTTCGGGCAGGCATTCTGAGAAATGTGTGCCTTGGTGGTCTCCTGCTTGTGCTCGTGCAGTATGTTTGAAACGCACTGCATGGGGCAGGTACCGGTACAATAGAACCACAGAGAGACTTCTGGATTTTAAGCAGAAGTGTGCGATCGCTCGCTGTGTCATCCGTGACGCTAAACGCACTTGCTGGCGAGATTATGTCTCCACCATCACCTCTGCTTCCTCTATGAGTGCAGTCTGGAAAAAAGTACGAAAACTGAGTGGTAAATATTCTCCTGACCCGGCTCCTGTTCTGCGGGTTGCTGGTGTTGATATAGCAAACCCACTAGATGTTGCCAATGAAATTGGCAATCATCTGGTCCGTATTTCTCAGGGACTCCATCTATGCCCCTCATTTCTTTCCTCAAAGTCTGCCAGAGAGTTAGCACCCTTGGACTTTTCTTCTCTCAGAGAAGAACAGTATAATGTGCCTTTTACACTTCAAGAACTGGAGGCAACACTCTCAGCTTGCCGATCATCGGCAGCTGGGCCCGACGACATTCATATTTGTATGCTACACATTTACATCAGTCAGCCCTTGCAGTCCCTATTACGCCTTTACAATCTTATTTGGTGACAAGGAGTTCTTCCACAGCTGTGGAAATCCGCCATTGTTCTCCCTTTCCGCAAACCAGGCACTATGGGACATGAAACCTCCCACAAACATCCCATTGCTCTTACCAGTGCAGTTTGCAAAGTGATGGAACGCCTGGTAAATAGACGTTTAGTGTGGTATTTAGAGACACACAAACAGTCTCTCACTCGTCAATATGGCTTTCGTAAGGGACGTTTACCATAGACCCCTTACTACGCTTGGATACGTA